TGACCTGCGTCCGACCAACGAGAACTTTCAACCCAGATGAAGTGAGCAAAAGCCACATTACCCAAGAGGATGGATGGAGCGAGAGCCTTAAAGGAGAAGGGGAGGAACACTAGTTACCCTGGATGTTCCGTGGAATGTGCACATACTGAGCATTGAACTAGGTTCCTGTTCCTTTAAGGTAATCCTAAAACAAACCAACAGTCCACACCTTGCTAGGTAGGTATTCACATGGCCACGTTACGGATGAGGACACAGGGAACTGGAAGGAGTCTGTATGGGCTCCCTAAAGATGGACATCAGGTGGCATTGCCGGGGGAACCCTGGGTAAAGGAATGTTCCACTCCTGGTTTGGTCTGCATTTTTCCCCTCCTTTTTATTCTCAGTCCTAGGACTCTCACAGTGTTGCACGTCCAGGGAAAAGTTAAATCCAGATGGGGCCTGGGCTGTCGGGACACTGATGTGCAGAGCAGAGCCTGCATTAGCAGCCAGAGGAAGGCCGGGCGTGATGTTTCAGGTTTCTTTGGGAGAGGGGTCTGTCATGGTTTGGCTATGAGCTGTCCCCCTGTTACTGCAGGGACATTCAGAGGGGAAACAGTGAGACGGAGAGCTTTAGCCTAAACAGTCCACCCTAGTTCGAATGGGCTGGTCGGGTGGTGACTGTAGGCAGGTGGGACCGCAGGACGTGCCTGGGAGTGTGCCCCTTCTCCCCACCCCTGCTTCATGATCCCCCCATGATCAGAGCAGCTGTCCTCCTCTGAGCCCTTGCCCCATGATGTGCTGCCTCACCTGGGGCCCAGAGAAATGGAGTTGCCATCTATGGACCAAGACCTCTGAAACCCATGAGCCCCCAATAAAATTTTCCTCCTCTAAATTGTTCTTGTTGGGTATTTTGGCCACACGGATAAAAGGCTAACTAAAACAATCTCCCTCTGCGTCTCCATTTCTCAATTGATAAAGTGGCACAAATATATTCTGAGGTCCCTTGTGATAGCCCTGCATTTACTAAGACTACAATTTTCTGTCTTTGGACTTGGGGATTCTACAGGGACTCTCCCTCCTAGGTTCCAACCCATCCAGAGCCCACCACCCACCTCCTGTATCTGGTTCTCACACCCTGGGTCGGTATCCACCTGCCCTAATCACCCAGAGCCAAGAACCACCCAACCAGGGACCGTCCTGACACCCGAGGGGTCCCTGAAATTATCCAAACCAATCAATCCTACAGCTACTTACCTTGCTCACCTCTTCCTTCCAGTGGAAACCCTGACAAAGGTCCTTCCCACAGTCCTCAACCTCTGTGCCTCCTGACTGACCCTAGTCCTTCCCTCTGTGTCCCCAACCCCAGAGGTAAATCCCTTCTTCTTGGAAACTATAGATAACAACTTAACCTTTTCAGACTCTTGGTATGTTGGCCTTACAATACTTCAAACTTCCTACTAATACACTCTGTTTTAAGTCAACTCCTTTATATTTACCATTCCTTACCAGAAGCTTCTCTAAAACAGGCACCATCCTAAGTGTTTTGGAAAGAACCACCCATTTCATCCTCACAACAGCCTAATAAGGTGGGGACGGCTGACATTCTTATTTTAGAGATGGGATAACCTAGGCACAGCAAAGTTAAGGACCTTGCCCAAGGACACCCAGCTCAGAAGTGCTCAGCTAGGATTCAGACCTGCCCTTGGCCCCAGAGTGGATATTTTTAATACTGTACTAAGCCACTCTCCATGATCTGGCCAGATTTCAGCCACTGATCAAGGAAACAGTAAACTGAGCTCTTATCTCCTTGCCTGTGAGGCCCGGGGTTATCTCATTGTCTTCCTGCACCTGACACCTGCAGCAGCATCCTTAGGGAGCTTATTCTTCCCTGAATCTCCGGGAGGCTGGGGCTGGCTGAGCCAGGCTACTCCAAGTCCTAGTTCAGTGAGTGAACACTGGTGTAGAACCAGACCCGCAAGCCTTGTCCTGTAAACATCTCAGCCCTCCTCTGCCCAGGTGTAGGGTTCTCCAAAGTACCCCTTAGTATTTATATTTCAGGACTCACCACCCCAAGCTGTGTTTGTGGCAAGAGAAGCCAGGATGACCAAAACACAGAGCCACATCATGGAAGGATGGCAGTTCTCTGCAAATGAGATCCTTTCTCCGTGTCCCTCTGAAGGGCTTCCCAGGTCTCAGCCCAGAAGCCTGACGTCCTGTCCCCACAGCTTGATTGTCTGAATGTGAGATGACCCAAATCTCCTCTCTTCCCCAGAACTCCTGGGGGACTGGTGGGACCTGGAAGCCAGATCTAGTTTGAGTTCAAGATCTTTTATCTGAAGTCCTGCGACTCAGCTCTCAGATTACAGATGACCACAAACTGGTCTAGCAACTTCTTGCAGATGGGTCTCTCCTGGGTAGACTCTAACCTCAGTGCACTGGCACCAGCAGGCTGAGTCTTCAAGGCAAGGTGTAGCTTTGATCTGGAGTCCTCAGATCAAGTTGGAATATTTTAGATCAACTCACAGCCCAGGAGCTGCTCGGCTGGGAGACACATCTTTAGCTTCCCTGGGCTGCCGTCTCCTAGAGTTCCAGGCTCTTAAGTTTGGAAGTGATCTTACACTTTATTCAGTCCCCTTATGATGTCTAAATTAGCTTTGTGATATTTCAGCCAAGTAACCCAGCCTGCTGCCATATGCATCCGGGTGAGGGAATCCACTACATTTCAGAGCAAGGCTTTGGGGGCAGAATATTCATACAGTAAATAAACTCCACCTTTCCAAAATCCTTGACTCTCGGCAGACATCCATACATTTATTCATTCCTTCTTTAAACATTTATCCAAATGTCTGGCTCTTGATAGAAATTTAAAAAAAAAAAAAAAACAGGTATAAAAAAAAACTACAAACCTCAAATTCTGTGAATTTAGTCTTTTCAGGTCAGGTCTGAGGTAACAGAGAGAAGGACAACAGAGCATGATATCGGTTTCCAATTTAGCTATTTGATATAATTTCTATCCAAGTTCTACAATATCTCATCCATGATCTGCCTCCCAGGAGCCTCCACAGGAGAGCAGCATACTTTTCCCATCTCAGTGCTGCCCTCTGCTGGACTCTGGGAACTTCACAGGTGAAGACACATTTAGTCCTAAATTTTGCTTTGGTTTGATTTAATGAATCATGTCAAAGATTGTTTGGGGTTAGGGGGAGACTTTCAGTTAAAACAAAACCATATGTTACAATTGGAAATTAATTAGTTATTTTGTGTTTTTTACAATGATAGAAAGGCAGAGGTGATGAAATGTGACCATTACTTGCCTAATACAATGATGGAACTCCAGAATAGTGAACTTGTAGAATATGAGGTCATTTACAAAGAGCCTGGCTTTGTATCCAGCCCATCTTCTCTTGATAAACTTAATGCCATAAATAATATTTTAAAAATATCAATGTTTATTTATAACATTGATCAAATTATGCTTATAAATGTCAAGGACATTAAAGCAGATTTTTTTTTTTTTTGGAGATAATCAAGTAACTTGGAGAAATACAAGTGACACACTATTCTGATGCAGTGGCCCTTATATGTTGGAATGACTGTAAGCAAAAAATAGCTGTCCAGATCCCATCTAAGAAGATTCTATTTTGGTTGGACTGGGGAGTGGCTGGCAATTCGTCTAATTAGACTCCTGATAGAAAATCTTCAATCAAGTGAAAAAAAAAAGATGGATACAAGTGTCATTTATCTGTCAACTTAAACTCCAAAAAACATCTGATGGCATATAGAAGCAGAAGAAAGGCAGAGGGCCCTGGTCTGAGTGCCTTGGAAATGGGTTCCACCTGGCAAGACACCTCCAAAATCAGAACCATATCCAGAGATGCCGAGTCTGTCTGCAGTGTATATGGGACGTGTGTGATGTCGTTTAATAAGAGGATGTTTTGAAATGTGAGTTGAGCTCTATTTCCTAGTTGTTCATTTCTCCACATATCAATGTTGAAATTAGCAGCAGCAGAAACCAAAGAATTTCCAGAATGCCTGTTTGTGACCTGGTCCTCTGCCTAGGGCCACGGAGTGGCCTTGAGCAGTCACAGCTAAGAGGTGGTATATAGGGACCCACCTTCCTCTCTTCTCTGCAGGGTGTCTGATGTTTGCTTTCTACCATCTCCTGTGGGTCCCCGGAGGGGCCACTAGGTACCTGTGCACAGCCACCTGCATCCTCTGACTCCCCTCCTCGTCCCTCTTCTGCTCTCCTCTCCCAGGAGCCCTAGAAATCACCTGCTCAAAACGACTGCACTCGTCCAGCTCAGGGTCACTGAAGCTCTGACTGTCACGTCTTCTTGTTGAATTGCCCCCTTGGTCATTACATCACGCGCCTCCTTCTCCCTGGCTATATTCATCTACCCAACATGAATGTGGCCACCCAACTTTCTTTTAGTGTATCTGGGTGGCATGTCTTCTCCTTCTACTTTCAAACTCTCTACAACCTGTGTTCACAGGGCATTTAATTCCCAGTTTGCTTTGGAAGATGATACTGATGATGCCACCCCCACCCCTCACATGCGTAGTGGTCTGTGCCGGCCAGGGCAGGCCCCTCAAGCAGAGAGCAAGGGAAGGACACTCACCTGGGGTCTGTATGTGGCTAGGGGAGGGGGCCATCATGAGCCTAGTGAGGTTTGCATCTTCCACTGGCATCAGAGGAAAAAGCACCAGACTTGCTTATCAGCTTTTCCAGATAAGGGGCAAGATGGGTGCGGGAGGGTCGAGGCTTCTAAGCTGGATACTGGGAAGTCCCGTATCTAGGAGTGGAGTGGGCTCCTCATCATTCACCTCCGAGTTGGTCTTGCTTTGTTTTTAATATTTTATTTTTTAGTTGTAGTTGGACAGAATACCTTTGTTTTATTTATTTCATGTGGTGCTAAGGATCGAACCCAGTGCCTCACACATGCTAGGCACATGCTCTACCACTGAGCCACAACTCCAGCCCCTTGCTTTTTGAATCCCATCTGAGAATCTCTTTTCATTGATGAGTTTGAATCATTTTTATTTAATAGAATTATTAAATGGTTGGATGGAAATCAGGCATCTTGGATGGAAACTGGTTCACCTGTTCCTTTTTTCCTGTTGGCTTGTTTTGAGGTTGAAAAGGTTTTATGATCCCATTTAATCTCCACGATTGGATTATTACACAGATCTCTTCAGAAATGTTCAGTGTTTGAATAATCATATTAAAATATATATCTTCAAATAATATAATAGTCCCATGAGGTTTTAGATACCTTTTTGCAACGTCAGGTCTTAAATTGTTATGTCCCATCTTTTATGTGATGGCTGGGGTGTTTGCTGGCCCTGGCCACCTGCCCTCTCTCTGCACTTCTGTCTGGGGCTTGGGACCTTATGTCTGCTGGCCCAGTGCCCTGTGGCTCTTGCGTCTTGTTCTAGCCTCGGTCTAAGGGGGACCCTGTGTTCCTCAGACTTGGAGATATGATCTTCTCCATGATGCTGCCCATCTCCAGCACAAAAAGTCGCTAACGATCTTTTCCTTGGTCTCAGTAGGTGCTCACCGGGGCCCTGAGGGAGATCAGGTTCACTGCTTTTTCCCAGTGGCTGTAGGATTTTGTTCCTTTGTGGTAAAGGGTCTGAGTAGGGCTCTGTCCCTGCACCCCCAGAGACAGGCTTTCTCCAGCCTTTCCACCTGCCTCCAATATCTCCCGTGAGCACCCGAGAGATGTCCAGGGATCAGAGTCTACGTGGGTGTGAGCTCCCCCTGGGGCTGTGGTTCCCAGCGAGTTTACACTCGCATCCTGGCCCACACAGGGCTTGTGGCACTGTCCTGAATGCTCTCCGCACACCTGTGATGACACCTTCCACCGGCATGTGAGCCGCGGTCCAGGAGGACCTCTCCTCCGGCAGATTTCAGGCTTTCGTTCATCAGATCTCTCTGCAGGGGCAGCTTCCTGGAACCACCTCTCTCTTCATCCTTCTCTCCCTGGGAGGATGGACTCACCTCCAGCCCAAGACGCAGACGCTGATGTGGTCTCCAGAAAATCATTTATTCTCCAAGTTGAGGCCACAGTGCAAACCTTCCCCACCCAGGCCTCTGCCACCCCACCCCACAGTTCCCCAGCCTCCACGTTAGGACTCCTCTGTGGCCTGTGCACCCCTGTCCTCTGCTCCAGAATCCCCAGGCTGGCTCAGCCTCCCGTCACAGCTCCTCATGTTCTCTCTGGGGAGGTTTCCTTGAGGCCTCCCTGGCCCTGAGCTCAGTCCAGAAAGCCACTTCCTTGTCTTTCAGCCGCGTGGCTGCCTGGGTGGTGGCGCCAATCTGCAGGTACCCTTCCTCCTGGTCGTACTCTGGCCAGAGGGGCAGCCCGGCTCCATTGGGGTTCCTGGGAACAGAATCAAACAGAAACTCCACAGATCCACTCGTGAGCCCCACATGTCTTGAGACTGACAGGATTCCCTGGTTTCTCTCTTCCACAAGGCCCATCCCTATGCAGCGTCGGGAGCTGTCCCTCTCCTGGGGCACCCTGTATGTTCTCAGAGGACTGTAGTCACAGGTAGGGGGTTGTCACTCACACTTTGACCCCTTCACAATGGGTAGGCCCCACCATGTGCCACCCACCCACCCACGCTGCTCCCTCTTTGCCACCAGCCTCACCCATGGCGAGCAAAGTTGGCCCAGAATCTCATCACCATCCTGCTGAGCTTGGTCTCCTCTTCTGAGGCGCCCCCTGTTGGGGAAGAAGGAAAACACTTTGCTGCACAAAGTGGGCTGTGGGCCAGCAGCAGCAGCAGCAGCTGGGAGCTTGTGGACAGCAGACTCTTGGCCCTGACTCCACACCGACTGGTCCAGGTCTGCCTATTACGAAGAGCCTGTCCCTTGGTGTGCACTTTCAGCTTGAGAACGGCTGGTCGAGGACCACACTGGCCATGCTGTCCATCCATAAGCCGACTGCCTTTGTCTTCTGGGCCCACCTGCCCTGGCCCTCCCCACTCAGGGTCCTAAGGCCGCACACAGGGTTCCCTCTACTTGGTGGGACTGCTGACTCTTGGGCCTTTTCTTAATCTCCTACATGCATCCACATTTTCAGAGAGTCTGAAAAATATCAGACAAGCCACCATCCTAAGATGTCTCCCAAGTGGGGGTCGCCTGGCATGTCATGAACAGCCATGAGGTGAGTCATATAAGTCATCTGCAACTGCTGAGTTAACATATCAAAGATACTGCGAAAACCTTTCTTGAAGTATTATGTTATTAAAAATTCCAGATAAAATATAGGAATTATAATTATATAGACAGATATGTGACATTCGGGTCAAGGTTAGCACCTAATCTAACTTCCCCTCATTGTTGTATTCTGCTGTTAGTAGAAAATCCCTCAGTGGCAAGCAGTGGCCCCCAAGCAGGGCTCTGCAGGTGACCCTCACTCTCAGGTCAGGACTCTGAGGCTCTGTGCCTCGAGGACCATCACGAGTACACATCCCCCTTCTTGCAGGTGACAGCAGAGGCCTGCCCAGTGCTGCACAGCCCTGTTACAGTGAGTCAGGAAATTCACAGTCAGAGAACAGGGGACACTTGCTCAAGGCCAGGAAAGCAAGACTGGAACCCAGGCCCCCTAACTAGCAGCCAGCAAAGAACTGTTACCTTTTAAAAATGGGGCTCCAAATACCGAGAAGAGCTCATCCCCGTGGTCTCCTGTCACCGTGCTGGGTCTCACGCCTGATAAGAAGCTCGGGCTGTACTCAAACTCATACATGTAGGTGGGGGCTCCGGCATCTGAGAAGACACGGATGTGTGCACAGGTCACATCACCAGACACGCAGCTGGATGGTCTCAAGGTCTCTGGCTGTGCAGGAAACCCCTGGGTGTCAGCCTGGGACAGGAACAGAGTTCCTGGAGAGCCCAGGGACTAGCTTAGGGCTGCAGAGCTGCTTAAAGTGAAATTGGGATTTGAGCCAGATTTATTGAGGCGCAGAATGAATTAATTAAATGAATCAAATAAATACTGAGACATGTTTCGTTGAGATCACACTAGAGCTCTTTCTCTTCAAAAATCTCTACAACCTGATAGGTGCCTCCTATTCCTCTGATTTTGAGCATTTCTGAGGTTCTCTCCCATTCAGAGAAGGGAGGGGCAAATCCAAGCTGCTTGTCTGCAAATGAGGATGTTTACAGATAAGTGTGTCCACAGACAGAGCCATCTGCCTCTCGGGTTTCAAGAAAACACAAATCTCCTGGATTCATATTCCAGTGACCTTGCATGTCCTGCTTCCTGATTGGCCTGGGGACTGTGAGGTCGTTAGGGTGATACAGTGATGCCCACCACAGAAGGGGCACAGGAGGTGAGAGTGCCTGTCCTCACCTCTCTTTCCCCCCTTCCTGCCAGGCTCTCTATGCACCAAACCCTGCTGTCCAAGCCCCAAGAAGAGGCCACCTTTTCTGTCAACTAGCTCATCCAACCCATCAAGCCCTGCCCTTCTGGGACTAACTCAGGGACCCCCATACCGGGGACCTCACCATTTTTCATCAGTCATAATGTTCACATAGGGAGACTCTAGGAGGGGAAGGGTCAGACCCCAAATCAGGCTGGTGGAGAAATCTCCCCATGGGTACATACAGTAGGAAAGTTGAAAAATGCAGAATAAGGAGAGAAAAAAAAAAAACAGCACTCAGAGAAAGCTTCTTCAACATTTTAGCAAATATGATTTTTAGGTCTATAAAATTGGCATAATATCCTATGCTACTTTGGGATGTATGATAATCATCGCTTCCCACCATCAGACATTTACCCACAAAGCATTTGACAATATATGGCATCACCACAGGAGAACAAGGAGGAATTCACTGAATCGTCCCTCCCAGCCTATGCAGACTGCACCTTGGCTCTTTGAGAAGTGGCACTTGGGAGTCTGTGACTCGAATCTACTCATTAACATCTGCTTCCCAGTCAGGCAGAACTCACGGACCGAGGGTTTAACCTTGCCTCTGCCATCCAACCAGTTTAGACAGGAGCTCAGAACCCACTCAGAGAGGAAGGAACTCTTGTGAACCAGAGAACTTAGTTTAATCAGCAAGCGGCCAAAGTAACTTTGTATAACTTCCTATCCCCATAAACATAGGTAAATACAGTTTGTTCATGTAACCGTTGTAAGTTGAGTGAGTGTTATAGCTCTCAGAATATCTTATTTTTCTCTACTCACTGTGCTTTTTCTCCTTACCTGTAGTTGTTAGCAGGTAACTACAACAGCGACAGCTAAAACAGGAGAATAGCTCAGCTGGTTTTCGACATGCTTAGAGAGCCCTGAATTTTAAAACTCTTTTAGCACGTTGTGGAGAGAGGTCTGGGCCAAATAATGATTTCCCAGCTTGAGGCTAGATTAATGAGGACTGGTAACAAAGCCTGTGAGGCTTTCTAAAGGTACCTGGAATACGAAACACCTCCCGCCCAGGTGAGTTCACCTATCTGTGAGCGTAAGAAGGCCCTCCAACCACCCCGCCTTGGGTCCTTGTTGGAAGGTCCTGTAAAGACCTCAGTCAGGCCCCCAGCTGGCCCACACCGGCACACAGCAAGAAAGACAAACCAGCATGGACGCGGAAACTGCCCCCTGCCTGGTCTGTGTGCCTCCTGCTGCCCTGTCCTTGTCCCCTCCTGATCCTGTACTGAATCCTACCCTTACCCACCTGCACTAGTTAACAACTTTAGAGCAAGCTTTGACCTTGAAAAACTTCCCCAGACCCATCTTCCAATACTTGCCTTCTGGTCCCAGGACCCAGGGAAGGAGCCTTGGAGCAGAGGCTGTCTGTGCCTCACTCATGTCCCCTGGGTCTGGGCAGGCCACCCTGACGGCCTCCTCCACCCTCTATAGCTCTTTGCTCAAGCTTTTGTCTGGTCACTAAAATCTACTTTGCCCACATTTGTAGCAGGTCAAAATGCCGCAGAATAAACCATCCCAGGGAACAGCCTTCAACCGGGGACCAGACCCCTCCCCAGGCTACACGGAATCAGACATGGAGCCCTGGCCCTTGGCGGTTTCCACATCTGTCTATGCTGAGAGAAGGGCCAGTCGGACACCTCAGCTGGTGGGTGTGAGGTCCTCTCCCAGATGCAACCTCTGGGACTCACCTCTGTGGTCACGGGCCACAATCACAGATGGGACACCAAAAAGCACGTCTCCCATCAAGTCCAGGAACAGGTCTTTCTTTTTGACAGGGTCGTCTGTCCCTCCTAAATATTTCTCAGTGGCCACTGGAGTCAGTTCCTTAGAGAGGTTCTGAAGTCATGAAGAAAGAGACCCCCCCCCATCTGAGAGCCATGCAGAGGCTCCCTGGATGTGACACTCCGGGACCCTGTGCAAATCCTACCTGGGGTGGCGGGGAGGGAAAGGAGGGGAAATGGGGCTGGAACCGGGGTCTCAGGGTTTTTTCCTGCTATTGAGTTGGTCGGTGACTTGGGGGAGCCCCAGCCCTTCTTTGTTTCTCAACTAATTCCCTAGGCTCTTACGACAAGTGGGAAGGACTTCCACAGGAGGGACGTGGCCGTCTGCTGGTCCAGTTTGCCTTCAGAGAGCGGGTAGCCCAACAATACCTGTTAAAGAGAAGACAGGATTGAACAGCCGAAAACCACCAGGAACCAACAGGAAGAACCAAATGAGCCGGCCGGGACACAAAGGCAGATAGAAGGTCCTTTTGGGGTCCCTATGTTCCCTATGTTTTGGGGTCGTTCATGAATTTGAAAAAAAAAATCAATGAAACAAAAGGAGTTATATACAGAAACTCAGGGACTAAAAAGAGGAAGCCTTAAATAACCATATTTGTCATGCCGAGAGACACCATGGTCATCTAGGAAGGGAGGAAATTGAGGCCAGGGTAGGGTTGAAGTGAACGGCTCAGGGAGCGAGGGTACATCCCCCACATACTGAATAACTAAGGAAGCCAAACTCCACTGTGATGGTTTGTCCTTTTGGCAGAACCTCTGAAATCCTTCTGAAGTGAGCACTGTACACCTCTCAGCATGAAAAATAACCCCACCCAACCTCTGCACTCCTTGACCCAACTCCAGCATGGCTTCTAGAGGTTTGAGGTCATGACCCCAGGACCCGGTGGTGTCTGCCTGTGATAAAGGTCTAAGTTCTGTGGAGGCCTTACTTCAACGAACTCCTGTGCTTCCTCCCATGAAGTCTGCTTCTCCCACAGCTGATCATGGACCAAGAATTCCCATGGTCTGACCTTATGGCTTCACCCCTCACACCCACAATGCCTCCCGGGGCATACCCCATCCTTGAGACCTCTCCAGCTTTTGCTGTCCGGTGATCGGAGTTCAGGTCATGCTTGATCTTTTCCCTGTTGCTATTGTATTACTGAAGAAAACTTGTCCTGTTGCTTTAACTAGTGGTCAGCTTTGAGAGAAAATAATATCTTCTTTCCTTTTTATTTTATTTTTTTTTTCTTCTTCCCTTTTACAAGACAGGAACAACTTTTCTGAATCTCTCCAATGAAGTGCCTGAGGATCGTGTGGGGATCTGTGGGGCCCAAGGTGGAAGCCACTGCGTGTTGGATCTAATTCCTCTGAACTTTTCAGCTCCTTCCTCCCTCTAGAAATACTCGGTTTTCCCACTTTCACAGTTATTCTCCAGGTAGGCCCTCCCTGCCTGTACATTTCAGGATTCTTTAATAGAAAAATAATTAATGGGTGTTTGGGGAAAGGGGTTCCCAGGGTCACTCTACTCAGGAGAGAGTTTGGTCATCCTGGAGAAGGTCTCCAAGAAAATGTCCGCTGGTCCCAGTGGAACCCAGAGGAGTTGGAGATGGAGAAATGGGAGCCGAGAGGGAGGGAAGCCCGTGAGCCTGTGTGGGGGTGCATCTGTCTCAGGGGCCTGCATGCCCTCACCAGCGGAATGATCCAGCCAAACTCTTGCTTGTTGATTCCCACCATGTAGGGGACAGTGTTGAAATTCTTTTCAGCCAAAATCTCTTCAGGTGTCTTGGGCAGCAACACTCCGTCAACCACAGTGAGCAGGGATGGTTGGTCCTAGGGAAAACAGTGGCACACTGTGTCATCACCCCACCCCGGGAGACACCCAGGGCTCCCTCTCTGCCTGTTGGAGGGCTTGGCCAGCACAAAGACCCCTGTGGCTTGGACAGTGCTCCCAGAATCTCAGGGTCCTAACAAGGAGGTCTAAGTCTGCGAGACACAGAGGAAAGAAGTTTGGGGAGGTAGCGGAGATAAGATGATGGCAGCTGATCTTCAACTAAATTAAAATGCATACCATGTGTGTTATATATTTGAATTTGTAGCAGACACTCTTATATGCATGTATATTTATTTACCTGTGAAGGTCCAGCAAATGCAGAATGAGTGAAAACTGAGCCCTGGCCGCGGGGGAATTGTAGAGTTAGGCTCTCTGAGCCTCTAATGGAATGTTTTCGTATTTCTTGTTTTCTGTGTGAGATCCTGTCTAAAGGCAGGTTACATAACAAGCATTTCTTATAAAGAACTTGTTATGTGTGTTGTTTATTCATAACGAAGCGCCAGCTGGGGAGGACCCATTATTGTCCCAACCCTGGGTAACAATATTGGAAATGTCTTTGGCTTCGGCCACACAACAGTGCACTAGGGTTTTCAGAACTTCATCATCTCACGAAGGCACACGTTCAGCTGTTTCTCCATCTTTCCACAGCTCTCCAGAGGGGACTCCACCACGCAGAGGCAGACCCCCCTCTTCCTCTGAACTCACAGCCAAGACCAGCATAACTCAAGCCAGAATGAAGCTCACGGAGACTTCTGTCTTCTCCACAAGGAGAAGGCCTCTTTGTGCTTAGGAATACCAGACAGCACTTCCTGACTGTATTCGAGAAGAGCTTTCAACAGGGAATCCATCAGCACAGGGCAAGAAAGTGAAAAGGTGGCATCCAAGCCACCGCACAAAGGACCCTTGGTAGCACAAGAGATGGAGCAAGAAGAGCATTTGTTCATGGGACCTCAGAGGAGAATGTGGGCTTCATGAGACTCAGACTTGTGCATCTGGGGCACGTGACCATGAGTGTGTCACAAGCATTGATTTAAGGGTAACAAACATGTTAGCTAGTAAATGGACTCAGGAATACAGAATCTGTGATTAGGGAGGGTCTACTGCATCTGTCTGTCTGTCTATCTATCTGTCCAGCTGTCACCTGGTTTAAGCTTGTGCTCATATAGAGAAATCACTAGGCTTGAGGGTATACTGAGCTCATCCCTCGAGGGGCCTAAGCTGAGACTGGATTCCGTTTTTGAGAGGGAAAAATATCAAACCCAGGGCCAAGTCCTACTCCGAAAGGCTGACAGCACAGAGCAGAATCCAGAAGGCAGGAAGGTCCTGCAGTTCCAAGACCTGGGAAGCCAGTAAGAGGAGCAGCTCACGGGAAAGAAGACACTCGCAGGGACCTTGAGCAGGCGCTGGCCTCGGCAGTGGCCTTCAGAGTGAATGCTGTGACAGGGGCAATGGTCTGAGCCCAGGGCAGAGGGGATCAGGGCTAGTCCTAGGAAGGTCCCAGAGCCCTGGGCTTGGAGGAATGCCTCCCGGCAAGGACAAGGTACAGTTGTGTGGTGGAGCATGCTTCCCGAACGACACTGGGCACATAGTGGGCCACCCGGGACACGTAAGGGAGCTGACTCAGTGGAGACAAGGTGATCGGCCTTGTAAGCAAGGACAGGTTTTAAGCAGGAGATGTAAACACGAAGGGGGAAGCTTGGCCCAGGGGCCACAGAGGAGCTGACTGGGAGCACTGGACTGGGAGTCAGGGGAGTGGGCTTCAGTGCTGCCTCTGGTCTACCTGGCTGTGTCACCCTGGCAGGTGACCTCCCCTCTCTGGGCCTCAGCAATACACACACAAGGGGGGACTGTGATTCCACAAAGGAGAATTCTTCCATTCATCGTGAATTGGAGCTTAAAGACCTTAAGACTCAAAACCTGTAATCAAGAAGCGGAAAGCCCTTACCTCTCCAGGATCTCCTTGGAGAGTAAGACCAGGACGTTTCTGTGAAGATAAAGTCAGGGGATGTGGGTGATAAGCCTTCTTGTATAGAAACGGATCCTTTGACCGGTGCCCCGTAGCTATCAGGCTCTCCCACCTGGTGCCTCCTTGGCTGGACCCAGAGGAACAGGGCTCCCCTGGGCAGGGGCAGAGGGTAGAGTTGTAGGATGGGGGAGGGGCAGGCAGCAGCCTGGGCAGGAGAGACCTGGGCCCCAGAGTCAGGGCCCTGGAGCCCTGGGGGAGGACCCTGCTGTCAGTGCTGCCCTCCTCTCCCACTTACTCCCTCTGGTAACCACCCCCACATTTCCTCTGGGGAAAGGGACATCATGGTGCCTGGGGTGATGGGCTGTGGCATCTCCCAGGAGATGGAGCAGGAGGTGGGATGGACGATGTGAGAAAGACACTTCCTCCTCTCTCCCCCCCTTCCCTGCTCCCACCTCATGGGTTCAGGAAATCATGTGTGACCTAGAATGTTCCATGTCCCTGCATACAGCTACTATTGCAAGGATGGGTGAAAGCCAGTGTCAGTCCAACAGAACAGACCCAAGTCTATCACTGCATAGCTAATGTCACCCACCTCTGGCAAATGATTGGAACAGATGGTTTGTGAGCAGAGAGCATGCAAGTCTAGACTGCGGTTGTCTTTGTTTTCCCCAGGGGACAAATCTTCAGGAAGAAGCCACTAGATTGGAAGCTGAGGGGTAGACCCAGGTTGATTCAATAACCTCTTCAGGGCCCCTGGCCCCAGCCACGCCCTACGCCATCTGCCCATGAACTTTTCACTTACCTGGGGATTCTGTGACAATACAGTGTTTTTACTGTTCAAAGAACCTTGAAATGAATTTTCACATCTCCCATGAGAAAAACACCCAAACTCACCAAAACACATTCCACCCCCACACTTTGCTTTGCCACGTGTTCACCAAGGTTACAGTGACTACTTGGTACACGTCGGGTAGCAGGTCTGACCTTACGTAGGAAAGGACTCCTAGGAATCCTTCCATCATGAATTGTAGCTCCACCAGCCAAGAGTGTGGTGTGGGTGTGTGCATGTGTGTGTGTGCACATGTGTGTGTGTGTGTGTGGGTGTGTGTGACTGTGCACATGTGTATGCACCAAGGACAGTCCATAATCGTGGGAATACTTCCACAAAAACTCAGAAAATCTCAATGGGAAGTCCTGGAATCTTAGGTACTTTGGTCATATAAATGGGGTCCTCTTGTGCCACACAGAGAATGACTGAGTATTTGTCTCTTTCTGGGTATTATAAGACAGTGTGTCTTTATTCTTGGAACACCTTGATCATCTTATTTGATCATGATGAACCAGGACCCAAGCCCCAAGGCCACACTGGACTCAACCCACGGAATCATAAGCAGAACACAGTGTGGGTGGCCTGCCCTGTGGGCTCCAAATGGCTTCTAGTGTTCAAGGTCAAGAGAGAGAGGCCAGCAGTCACCTGAGCCCACATTAAACTTTCCTCACTGAGGGAGTTGTTCCCATGGGTCCCACAGGCTGCTTTTGTTGTTTTTCTGGCTAAACTTCCCTATGATGAGAAACTGCCGTGACCATCCATCAATTATGTAATGTCACCCTCCCAGAAAAGCATCCCTGATGACTATAATGAATGTGTCCCTTCTCTGTTCTCCTACCACAATTAACTCACCATACATGTATGTGGCTGTTTCTCCTTGGAGAGCCCTTCGTGAGAAGATACTTTGTTCAATTTATGTCTGGATTTTCTGCCATGACACCACCGTTCCATATTCTTAGAATGGATAGACACATGGATGGATAGATGGGTGGATGGATGGATGGATGGATGGATGAATGAATGGACAGATGGGTGGAGTTGGCCATTACTAGTTACTATGGATAAAACTGCATGAATATGTGAATAAACAGATGATTACTAATAGTAATGAGTGGATCATTGATTTTGGAGGACTGGGTGACAAAGCATAGATATATGATGGGTGAACAACTCATGAATGATGGACAGATTGAAAATAGATGAATGAAAAACTATAGATGGATTGACAGCTAGACTGATAAAAGGATGTGAATGAATTGGATGGATGAATAGATGGAAGATAAATGAGAAGATACATAAATGCCTATCTTAAAATTTTAATTGAGTCACAGTCTCAGAAAAATCTAGAGAACGTGGCTATTAACATCATAACTTAGAGAGCTTCTAAACAACCAAGATAAATTGTGACACTTTCCTAAAAACTTTGCACTTAATATCCCAGCTCCCAAATCATTCAGGATGGCAGTTACATGGGATAGTTTGATTCAGGAGGGCCGAATCCATGAAACCTGGGATCAAGTGCATAGGCTGGGGCTACTGAAATGAGGCACATACCATTTTTACTGTCATCTCCAAGAGCTCCTCCTCGGTCTTCTGGCGCATGCAGTGAACCATGACTGCCGACGTGGTGGTTTTACACCCAGCAGCAATAGCAATTTGCTACACAGATCACAGGCAATTAGCATAGTTTAAGAGAAATGACCCTTCTCTCTATTAATATGGGAAGAAGTGTTGTATCTCGTGGCCAACTTCTGAGGGCAGTAGGGGGGCAGCAGAAGACACGCTAGACCACCAGATGCGGGTTCTGGGTTGCACAGGGTGTGTGGCCTCTCTTACTAACTGGAATTGTGGCATGAACTAGCTTGTCTCCATTAAAATGATGCAGTGTTCCTCCCCAGCATCATAAATACATAATAAGTAATCTGGGTACGGTGTTCTCAAAGTTGAATTCAAGAGAGGCTCTTTGGAGTCAGGGTTAAGAGCTTCCAAATCCTTCTCCTCCCCTGACTCGCTATTTGGTCTGCAGCAAGCCACTCAATCAAGATGTGCCTTGGTTGCCCCACGTGATGAGGATAGTGATTACCCTCTTCTTAGAGGAAGAATCAGTGAGGTACTGAGAGGTGCACCATGTCTCCCCCACACTAGAACCTGTGCAGAGGGAAGGAGAACTGGATAAGATCATGCGCACCGCACACTTCAGAAAGCATGGAACACGGGTTAAGTGGGAGCCCCAAGGAGACCTTTCTGCCCAGCCCTCCTCCCTTCAGTGATCCTGGAGCACCTCATCTGAATCCCACAAGAAGAAAGTGCCCCAAAGACGGCAGAGCAGAGGAAATACTACGGGAGTTGTTCAGGTCAAGACCTACCTTAGCCACGGGCTTGATGTTCTTCTTGACCAAAGCAGCAGTGAGGACAACTCCACTCTCAGAAATGGCCCTGTGGAAGAGGTTCTTGGCCAGGGGAGATAACACCTGCAGGGACGTGGGGAGGAGGAGAGTCTATGCTCGTGGGGAGGGGTCAGCCACTCCTGCTTTCAGGTCCTCTCAACCTGCTCCTGTGCTCTGGCCATTCACGTGAAGAGTTTGGGGTCAGTGGACATGAGACCTCCTTCCCTGTCCTGGCCTGTCCTGGCTACAAATTCTTCCCCATCGAAGTCACAAATTACGTTTTGGAATATCCATTACTCAGAATTTATTCTAAGAAATGTGATAACAGGGGGCCAGAAAAAATTCTAAAAAAGTCCATGCTGCTTATGATAGTAAATCTTTGAAACAGTTCTGATATGGGATTTGATGAATATTTTTTCATTCTTACCATGGAATACTGGACAATTATTAAAGATAATGTTATGTAAGGAGGTTTAACATTTAATAAAACTCTAATGTTATACTACAATCTAACAGAAAGATGGGTTGTTTTTATTTTTTTTTGTAAAAATTTACCCAACACATACATAGATGACAGAGAAGTGGGGTGGCGTGGAGTGGATGATTAATAGATAGATAAAATTGTGGAAAAAAGACTAGAGAAGTTCATGACCACTATTCGTAGTCACTGTCTCTGGGCTGGGGCACTATGAAGACTTCTTCTTCTTTGGACTTTTGTATATTTTTCCATTTCTTCTTTTTTAAAATATTTTTAGTTGTAGTTGGACACAATATCTTTATTTATTTTTATGTGGTGCTGAAGATCTAACCCAGTGCCTCTTTCTTTACTTTAAAAATATGAGCATTTTCCTCTGAGTAGTCAACGATGAAACCGACGACACATGCTTCAAGAATACAGCCATTAGGCTGACCCCCTGCTCAACTCTGAGGTCATTGTCGGGATTATTCGGGTCCCCAGCACCTTCTAGAACTTCCCTCAGCATCTCCCAGCCCTGTTCCTCACACCAGTAAGACATCTCATGCCCCAGGATGTGTCTGTGATTCATGTCCCATGTGCCACCTGTCCCCCATTCCACTTTCCCTCCCTGCTCTCCGTCCACCTCCCCAGCCCAACTTGTCCCGTGGTCCCAGGGAAAGCGTCCTTCTCTCTAGGCACGATCACCTCAGGGAGGCCCCTGCTGATCACATTGATGATCACATTCCCTCAAAGCAGTGATCTGCCTTGGAGCCAAACAATAACCTCTTATCCAAATCACGTCCTTGCCTGTTCTCATTGTCACTTGTACTCTCCCGTACTGACCAAGAAAGCGGGGTAACTTCAAAGTTAAAATGATAAGGTAGGAAAAAGGGAATATCATAGGGGTAGGAATAAAACCATTGTTACAGGCAACTGGAGAAGCTATAACCCCAGAACATGAAGTCGAGCCCTGGAGACCATGGAGAGTTTATGCCTTGACTCTTCACCATCTAATACTGCTCAGTGAGCAGAGTCATCCCTGGATCCTCGTCTCCCAGGTAAATGTGCCTGTGGCTGAATTGGCTGGTCTCCAAGAGGTTCCATCATCAGCCTCATCAAGCCTGGGGGTGGGGCAGGTGCCAAGAGCACTTACAAGAATAGACACACTTTGTCCTCCTGCTGACTCTCCAAAGATGGTCACAGAGCCCGGGTTCCCTCCAAAGTTGGCAATGTTGTCCTGGACCCAGCGCAGAGCAGCCACCTGGTCCAGGTGGCCCCAGTTCCCCAGGCAGTGCTCATCCCCAGTGCTGGAAGAGAACAGAGTGGGGGTGGAGACAAAGATGTCATGGTAGGGTTCTCAGGTCCAGTGATGGGCTGGGGGCCCTCACTCAACCTTCCAGAATAAAGTTAGACTCTGCATCCTTGACACAGGAATCTTCTCCTGCCACTCATTCCTGCAGCATTGTTCCATGTGGGGTCTGCGTTCATTCTTCCAGAAAGGATTCCTTAGCAGCTACTATGTGTCCAACACTGGTCTAGGAGCTAGAGCATATTTGGGAACAAAATAGGCAAAATCTGACTGCACTCAGATCACTCCACAGATCACAAGCAAACAGATGGGAAGAGAATGTCAGTCAATGAAAATGATTTGAGGAAGAATAAAAATGGGTAAAAGAAGAGGCAGAAGACCTTTGCCTCTGGAGCCCGCCATTTTTGCAATCCCTCTCTAAACTCCCCCTCCTATCTCTGAAGGTCTGGTTTACTCTGCTGCATTATCTGTCACCCTGTTGTCCTATGGGTGCTGGAAGATCATAATTAGAATACTCAACACTCTGAAAGACAGTAAATATATTTTCAGTTACAAGTGACTCTCATTCCCCCTCAAAATGCTGTAAGCAATTCATCAAAACACTGTGATACACTGAGTGGGTCTTTTTTCAAGGAGATATTCTCCTTGCTTGGGACACATAGTAAAATGAAAGAAGCCTGCTAAAGAGTACTCCACACAACAGTGGGAGAAACCCCTTCCACCAGATAGGAAAATCTCAATATAAAAAGTACAGAAAACAAGGGAACACAACACCTTCAAATGTCGATCACGCCCCAACAACTGAATCCACAAATATCAAAGCGGCTGAAATCCTGGTCGAAGAATCAAAGAAGTTGACAGTTAAAATGAGCAACAAACTAAAAGAAGATCTAAGGAATGAACTAACTGAGAAATTACAGGAGGTGAAAGATCATTTCAATGAAAAGATGAAGATTCTGAGAAAAAAAACAATCAGAAGTCTTGGGAATGAAAGACTCAATAAATCACATAAAAACAGACTATGCTTAGAATATTCAAGAAACCTGTGACTACACTCAGAGACCAACACAAGAATCCCTGGGATGGAAGAGGGCTCTGAGATACAAGGTAGGGGTATGGATAATTTGTTTTGTTGTTGTTGTTGTTACCAGGGATTGAACACAGGGGTGCTTAACCGCTGAGCAACATCCCCAGCCTTTTTTGTTGTTATTGTTTTGTTTTAACTTATTTTTATGTTTTATTTTGAGATAGGATCTCATTAAGTTGCTTAGGGCCTCAATAAATTACTAAAGCTGGCTTTGAACTTGTGATCCTCCTGCCTTAGCCTCCCAAGCACTGGGATTACAGGTGTGTGTGACCGTACCTGGTTGGATAAACTTTTCAGTGAAATACAATCAGAAAAATTTCCAAACTTTGGGAAAGAAATAGATATGTAAATATAGGAAGTATTCAAAACCCCAAATAAACAAGATAAAAAAAACCCTCCCTGTGACACATTATAATTAAAACACTGAACACAGAGAACAAAGGATATTAAATGCTTCCAGAGAAAAATGTCAGTTCACATTTAGGGGTAAGCCAAAAAGAACAGACTCTAAAAGCCAGGAGGACTTAGAATAAGGTATTCTGAGTCCTGAAAGAAAATAACTACCAACCATGATTGCTGTATCAAGCAAAGCTATCCTTCAAGTGTCTTTGCTTTAGTGACTGCAATGGTTTAAATGTAGTTTGTCTCCCAAGGGCTCCTGTGCTGTGGTGTTGGTCCATGACGTGGAGGTATTAAGAGGGGATAGAACCTGTAAGATGTCAGGTCTAGCAGAAGGCAATTAGGCCATTGGGGTTCAGCCCTTAAGGGATTAATGTAGAGCTCATGGATCACTGGTTAGTTCTAGCAAAGGCCAAGGATGTTGAGCTCTCCCCAGTACTGACATCACCCGCAGACCTGGACCATTCAACCAGCTGGAAATAAGCAAAGAGTAGCATTGTACTTCAGCTAAAGGACACTTTCCAGAGGCCCAACTGATGGAGCCACCCCATCTGGGACTGAGTGAAATAAATTTCTTTATAATTTGATTTATGACTTTTTCTTTCTATTTATCCAGCCTTGGGCACTTGGTCATATCCATTGGAAACAGGCCAATGCAGGGGCTCATGTGCAGAGAGGAGAGTCCAATGCCTTACCTGTAGAACCCCCAGATGCCCAGGCGGTACTGAATGGTCACCACCACCACGTTCTCATGGGCAGCGAGGGCCAGTCCATCATAGGTGGATGCCCCGCCCACCACCAGGCCACCTCCATGGATCCACACCATCACCTGGAGAAAACAGATGCAGCCACACTAATCATAGACAGCAGGATAGAGAAGGATGTCTGGTTTCATTGTGGATATCTTGGCTGTGAATCAAGGTGGCCATTAGCAGAAGTCCCCCCAGTGCTCAGGACAGTTGCAAAAGACAGTATCTCTTCTCCATTCTCCCAGCTGGGCGCCACTCAGGGCACCTGCCTCATCCTCCTAGGGCCTTTAAACCTGAGAACATCATCACGGGAACAGCAAAGGCCAAGGACACTGTGTTCTTTCCAACATTCCTACGGTCCTCACTCCTGGAACATTCAACCAGCTGGAGATAAGCGAGGGGCAGCTCTTGTACTTCAACGCTAACTCCCACGAGGACAACTTCCCTGTGCAGGAATGACAGTCTCAAGAGTCACACGTGGCCCTTTGATGCCACTACCTAACAGCCTCCTCAGCCTGCTCTGAATGTCTAGATGCTACCTGCCCTCCTAAGCCTAGCTCATGACCCACTCCTCCAGGAAGTCTTCAATCATTGAACCAACATCATCTGGAAGCCCACTTCGTTCCAGGGACTAGGAGGACAATTGAGCGTGAGAGTAGATATCACAATTCAAAATTCATGGCTCTTGTTTGAGAAAGCTCACGTAGTAGGGAAGAAATGGGAGTGGATGAAATAATTTGTAATAATATCGCTAATAAAAACCAAGAACTCAACAGAAACTATGTACTGAGAACTCTTTTAAGCATTAAAAGCAACGTAGTCATTTCACAGGAAAATAGAGCATCCACGAACCCAAGAACTTGCAATTAATTTAATAAGTGACAGAAGTAAGATTGGACCCAGGCTGTCTGGTAACAGGGCCCACGTGCTGAGCTGCCCGACTCCCTGCAGCCCACTGGACAGCACAGTGAGCCAGCCCTTAGGGCAGGAGGAAGGTCCCACTGCAGCTCTGACCTGTGTTCCAGGAGGCTCGCTCTGCGCACTCAGCCAGCCCTGAGATGAAGCCCGACCACCATCATTAGACACTCACACAGGATTCTTCCCACGAGAGGAAGCAGAGGCTGAGGGAGGTGGAGAACTTGCCCAAGACTCTCAGCCAGGACAAGGCAGACCCAGGATCCAAACCCAGACCCTGGAGATCTAGACCCTGTGTCCACAGCTGTGGGTCTCCTGCCTCAGAGCCCTGTTTCTCCTGCACCTCTGATCCTGCTGTCCCCAGGGAGGGACTGAGTCGGGGTCACCTGAGTGAAGGTGAGCTCAAGGACAGGTCAGCACAGACAGGCTGGAGAGGCCAGGACGTGTGTGCCGCCAGATGGCAAGACCTGGAGGGCAGGGGCTGCTGGGCAAGGCGCCGTGCCCCTGCTCCCCCTAAGCCCAGAGGTCAGCTGGGCAGATGGGTCGCTGAGCACACAACAGCAGGATGAGCAGATGAAGGAGGGAACTCGTCCTCACTTCATCATACGTACAAAGCACAGGGTGGTGGGACTGGACACCTTGCAGCCCAAGCTTACACCCCTTCCCACCCGCTGGGTGGCCTTCCAGGTGTTCCTGGCGGGGTGCTGACATGCCTCCCTCTGCCACCCCAGGTGTGGCCTCTTTTCCCCTCAGGTGCTCTTCTCCCTGCGCCTGGCAGCCCGCCCCACCTCTGCTCTTCCCTTTGATGGGGAAATGCTGTGGGCCTCAGCCTGCGCCCAGGGCAGTCAGGCAGGGAGAGGGGCTCCAGGAGCATCCCAGATATTTGGCCAAAGGCAAGGAAAGGGAAAGGACGTGGGGCTTCCAGGGGACCGTGGAAGGGGTCACAGGTGGTGTGCTGAAGAAAAGTGACACACGTGCTCCACTTCCTAGTCTGTGCTCAGGGATGTTGGGTGACAGATGAGAAGACCTGAGCTCCCGTCCTGTCCCTTTCTCCATCTCGGTTTCTCAACCTATAAAGGAAGGGCGAATTTTCTCTAATTTTTTTTTCAGTTCTTCTTTATTTGAAATTATGTCTTAGCTTCTCTGAGAATCAAAGCCTTAATTTAGTAACTAAGAGTAATCTTTTTTGTCCCTCTTTTATGGTGAAAGAACTTGAAAAATATTAAGATGTGCATTCCTGATGTACAGCAATCTCCCCCAGATGCATGAGGTCACTAGTGGAAACCGAGAGAAGAGAAACACATATTTCCTGTGGCAAAAGGGACCCCTGGGCCCCGAGTCATCCTGGTCTTAGTGCCCCTGCTCCAGCGGCCTTCTGCCCCTTCCTCTGCACGGCTGGCTCCCTGACGTTGGAGCTCAAGGTTTGACAAGTGGGGCCCGCGCTCACCGGCAGGCTGCTTCTCCTGGTCAGGTCTGCGGGAGTGTAAATGTTCAGGTAGAGGCAGTCTTCAGAGAACTGGAGGGGAATGTTCTCCTTCCTGTTGGTAAAGAGCTCTGAGAGGACCTGCCCCATCTCAACATCTTGGGAGCACCTGGGAAGGGAAAGAAGAGCTTTGAAGGTCCACCTGATGGAAGCTCAGGGTGTCACCTGGGGCCAGACCTGACACTGGGTGTGATAAGGCTCTCAATGGAGATTTCATTGTGAGACTCGAGATGCCAGCATGGGTGGGAGGCTCTCTGAGGGTCCTGCTGGGAGGCCCCGTCCTGTAGAGTAAGAAGGACTTGGAATGTCTTCCCTTTCTGGATACTTAAGGATGCCCTAGGCCAAGGAAGGGAGGATGCCCATCCGCTGACAAGAGATGACATTTCCAGGACTGGGCCCTGTTCCCTGCGGGGCTTTGTGTCGTGGGCTGCAGCATACCTGTCCACCTGGTAGGTATGTCTCGTCTGTGGGAGACTTCCTCCCACCAGACCCTCAATGACAGATGCTCAGCCCGCAGCAGGTGGGGTGTCACCAATACGAGACAACCCCAGAAGAACTGCATTCTAGCCTTGCCACTGATGTGACCTTGGGTGAATTCCTTCCTGCTCTGGGCTTTAATCTCGCTGGTCTCAGTGAGGGGAGTCTTTCCTAAGGGTCCTGCAGCCCCGACATTCTAAGATTCCATCAGCTAGCTATCCCATTGGCTACCCCGGTCAGAGGTCTCCCAAACCCAATACAGAGAGGAAGTGGTAAAATTTGCTGAGTTCTCCCAGTTGTCAGGCACTGATTTAAATTCTCCTGTACTGATTCCTTCAAGCCTGAGATCTTCCCAGGCATAAGTTCTATGATTATCTCCATTTTGAAGGTCAAAAAACCAAGGCCCAAAGAGGGTAGAGACCGTTTTCAAAGGTCACATAACCAGGAACATCCATGCTATATAGTACTCATATTTCCAAGTATATTATAAACAATATTTCCCAATCTCAAAAGACCAGAAGACCCTGGTATGCAGAAGAGATCCCTGAGAATATCAGGTGGCGGGAGGACACAGATGTCTACTAACAGAAGTGGACCCAGCAAAGCTCACTTCCAAATTTCCATTCTGGGGAATTTTTCTTAGATTATTCATCTCCAGGAACCATGAATGTGTGTAATGATCCAGCTAAAGCCTGTTAACCATAGTCATTTATGATGCTGAGATATAAAAACTATCTTAATGAACCCAAATAAGAGATGAAGTCCATAAATGACTTTTTTTTTTTGTACTAGGGATTGAACCCAGGGTACTTAATCACTGAGCTGAATCCCCAGCTCTTTTTTAAATTTTTTGAGACAAGGTCTTGCTAATTCGCTGAGGCTGGCTTTGAACTTGCAGCCCTCCTGCCTCAGCCTCCCGAGCCATGCATGGCCATCAATTACTTTTTAATACCTCATTTCATGTGACAATTAAGTCTCAGACTGGGACATCAAATGGAATAAAGATGACATAGGGATCAATGAGCAAGGTGCTCACCCAAACTCTGTCTGCATGATCCATTCCCAAGGGAGCAAAGGGCGGCAGGTGAAAGTCTGGAAATGTGACTTCCAGTGTTAATGGCAGTTCCCCCTGGGCAGCAGAACTGTATGTGATTTTAGTTCTTCTCTTAGCTTTGCTTCTCAGCATTTCCTGACTTTTATGCTTATCAGGAGGTAAAAACAGTGAGTGTCATTTCTTAAAGAAAGGAAAGAACGCAGCCAGAAGTGGGATCCCGGACATCAGAAGTACCTTGCCGAGGAGATGAATCATGAAATGACATACGTAGGTGTGGGAAGTGCTCTGGGGGTGGCCAGGAGGCTGACTGGAAACTTGGGCTTCTGTGCCCAGGTCGCCAGGCGACTGGGCACCACCTTTGCTCTGCCTGGGACTAGGTATCTAGACACACCTGGGAGTTGAGATAAGGTGAAGTCAACCTTCCAGGGCACCCCTCACTTCTCTATCACACTCCTGAACCACACCAAGGTGCACGTGAACACACACACACACACAGAAGAAATAAGATATCTACTCCTTACCTCCATCACCGGCTCAACTAATTTTTCCTCAGGGCACTAATCGCATTCTAATAGATCACATAATTCATTGATTATCTTTCATGTTGTTAATGATGTCTCTCATCCCTGATGGAAGCCTCAGGAAGGCAGAGATCTTTGTTTTGTTCACGAATGGATTCTAGGAACCCACAACGTGCCTGACACACAATAGGTGCCCAAGAACTAGGTGCTGAACAAAGGGCTCTGCAGGGTTCTAGAAGATTCCAGAAGAAAGCAGAGCCAAGCCCAGGACGGCCTCCACCCCCTCCTGCAGCACCGAGGGACAAACCCCCCTGGGACAGGCCACCACTTACATAGGAGGGAAGGAGGTGGTGTTCTTCACAGAGCTCCAGGGCTCTGCCGGCTGCGGTGGAGCAAACCTCAGGGGCCCAAGAGGGGGCTTGGCAAAGGGGACGCCCAGGAAGACGGCCACGGGCTGCGCAGATCCTTCCAGGCTGACGTACTTCCCCAGGACTTTGCCGTGAACAGTGTCCACCACGGGGGGCGAGGATGGGTGTCCTGCTGGACATGGGGAGCAAATGAGGACGTTAGAGGGGAAAGGCCAGACCTGGGTTCCAGGTGGGGTTGGCCACATTCTAGGCATGTGACACTGAATAAGTGACCTAAACCCTCTGGACCTCAGATTCCTTTTATGTAAAGTAGGGATGAGGGAGGTGTCCAACCTAACTAAACGGGCTGACAAAAGAGGCAAATTGGAATTGAGATATAAACATATCCAGCCAGAATTCAAGGAAAACAGGAGAGCTTCTGGGAATGAGTAGGGTCTTGGGATAAACAGAGCCTTCTGGAAGCAGGTACCCACTAGGGTCCTGGTGCTGAGCTGGTAAAGAGGACAAACAAGAGGGGCCCTGTTCTCAGGAGGGCTGACCTTGGGGGGAGAAGGAGCCACAGACATATGTGACCTGATTCTGGGGAGAAAGAGGCCACATCCTCGTGGGGAACCAGGGAGGGACTGCAGGAGGGAGAAGAGGGAGCCAGGCCTTCTGATGGTGGCATCATATGGAGCTGGGACTTGCAGAAGGGAGGAGAGAATGAGAGAACATAGGATGAGGGGATAAAGCTGGAATAAGGTTCAGAGACCGCAAAACAACACCCTGGCTGAGGAAGGGTGTGTGGCCTAGGACCGCTGCCCCACGGAGGCCCTGAAGAGTAGAAGATAACTCTGCAATGAGCAGGTGCATGTCAGGGAGGGCCTTGGGTAGGTTAAGGGATTTTATGTACGTAACAAATTAACAGCAGGAACATTCTAGATTAAATAACACAATGAGCTAAAACATTCTCCGGTACCTCTAAGCAGGGGGCAATCCAGAGGGAGAGAGACTGGGCATCAGGCTCCTGTCTGTTCCACTCCCTCCTTTATTGTGGAGGAGATCTTTGCTCCTCATCTCCCTTCGGCTTTCTCACCTGACCTGGTTCCACCTGATTGACCTGTCTGACCTGGGACCAGAGTGCACTAACCTGATCTTCCTTCCTGAGGCAGGTGGATTTCAGACACCCCACCATGGCCACCCTGAAGTCCTCTCTTGTCTGTCCTCAATGACCTCAGTTTCTCAGAGCACCGTCACAGGACATGGTTACTATCCTCCTGTCTCAGGATGCTCCTCTTTGGATACAGACAATATGGCAACATTCCCCACAAAGTGTGTGTCCAGAAAGTAAAAGAATAATCCAGATGTGTTCTAGCAGAAGAATAACAATGTCTTAGAAACCAGTTTACAAAATAATACCCATTTCTCATGGCACCAATCGCCAGTTCCATACTATGAACATAGAGGTTGTGTTCTGCTCTTGTGGTTAATTATTACAAACAACATCAGGATGAACATGGAAAAATGGTTTCCAAATTACAATGTTTTGAGTTGTGATTGAAAAATCGTTGAAACAGACCAGAGACCTCTACCCAGAAGACCCTTACCATAATGAATCAAAACCCCCCACCATGTTTGTAACATGTAAGTTCCTCTTCTTGTCAGAAAGCTTTTTACATAGTACATGAGCAAAAACTTCTGCAAAGGGCATTGAGCTTGGTTGGTAGTTTCCTCTTTTTGTAAATGCCAGGTGTGCAAGAAAAAAAAAAACTTGTAAAACCTCTGACTAGTCTAAAAAAAAAGAAACAAAGAGCACTTGTCATGTAAACCTTAAAATCCCTCCTCCCACTAGGTATTAAGTTCAAAGAATTTCCAGATTCTTCTTCCAGAGGAGAATATTTTAGGTGATAGCCCCTCTGGACCCTCCAGCCGATAAACCTGCTTCCTGAAAGTTTCTTGGGTGTCCAGCCTTATTTGTCCCACATGGTCATAAGACCCTGAGGTCACCAGGCATAAACTAAACTAAACTAAAATAATGAATATCAAGAGGAATAGCCCAAACCACTGGAAACTCGAGGATACGTAACCAGGTCCATGCTTCGTGTGATTAAGAGCAACCTCAAGGTTGCTTCCTTTGGCCTGTGGTTAATTATTATCAATGCCCCAAGCTGTCCTTCCATGGAAGCTTGTGCATTGAGATACAGGAAGTACAGGTTTCTTTCTTCTTGGTGCATGCTCACATTTCTGCACTGAAGATAGGTCCCGTTTTTGGAATTAGAAAAAATTTTATAAAGAAATATGGGGATGTATATGAATATTGAAGGAGGACCTGGGAGCTGACCAGATTATGGGGCAGTGGAAGGGGAAGAAGACCAAAGAGCAGGCGTGTAAACCTGGCTCTGTGTCAGGCAGGGTCCCTGAGGAGGTCAGTGAGATATCCTGGCAAGAGGTACAGACCCAGGGCACCTCCAGACCGGAAGGAAGTTGGTGAGGGGGCAGAGAATGGTCCTCCTGAGGGTGAGGGTGCACACCACGGGTGCATGTGACCTCACTGCAGAGGCCGGGGTGAGAGGAGAGTAGGAGCTGAGAAGGGAGCTCAGAAGCAGCTTCAGCTGAGATTGGGAGCACCCTCCAGAGTGGGGGGTGGGGGAGGGCAGAGCCTTGGGAGCCCAGGGAGGAGAGGGGGAGGGGGCTGGGCGAGTGCTTCAAGGAGGCGAAAGAGGGCGAAGTCTGAGCAGAAATTGGAAATCTCTGGGTGTGGCCTGTAGTAGTTCAGTGATGACCTTCAACCCAGATGAAGTGGGTAGAAGCCAGATTGCCCAGGGCGGGAATATGGGCAGATGGGGTGGGAGGCATACAAGGTGGCAACAATTAGCAGGCACCTGTTAGGTCATGTGGAATGTGCACATACTGAGCACTTTCTGTGTACCCAATGTGCATTCTAGCTGCTTTACATTATTCCTCAAAAAAGCTTCACCAGGTGAGTTTCCATATGCCCACTGAACAGATGGGCAAACAGGATTTGCAAGCGGCTTATATGAACTTCCTAAAGATGGAAAGAGGATGATATCACTAGAGGCAACCAGCAGTAATCGAATGGTTCGTTTGAACTTTGGATCCTTTGTTAACCTGCCTTACACTTGGTTCCAGGCCTCCGATGGGGTAACCCAGGACCAGCCAGAGTGAAGCTGAAATCCCAGGTATGGGGGGCTGTTTGACTATTGCTGTCCAGGGCACTGCCTCTGGATTTAAGACCCAAAGATAGACCAGTACATGACTCCCCAGGTAAACTTTGGAGAGTACTTTTCATTCTGACTCTCAGTTTTTCTGTCCATAAAATGGCACAATTATATGCTGAGATCCTTCCCTATAACCCTGTAATAACCATTTTTACTTCCTGCATCTGAAGTGTTGACCTGTGAGGCCTCGACTATCCTGGAGGAACTACCTCCTGCAGGTGCAACCAATCCAGAACCCACGTCCACACCACCTCCTATATATGGTTCTCAAACTCCAGGCCAGTGTCACCTGCCCTAATGACCCAGAGCCAGGTACCAGACAATGGTGACAGCTCCTATAAACCAAAGTCCCATAAAGTAATCCCAACCAGGCAGCCCTACATCTGCTTGCCCTGCCTCACCTTCTTTCTGGTGGAGCCACAACCAAAGCCCTTCTCCACAGTCCCCACTCTCCCTCTGCATCCTGACTGGCCTCCGTGGGTCCTCTTGTGTCCCTCTCCCGCTACAGTGGGGTGGTCAACTTCCTAGGACCTGTGAGTTACAAACTGTCTTTTCAATGGCCAAGGACTCCTTGTCTTATTTTACCATGCATCAAATATCACATTGATTCATTCCATTTAAAATTATCCCCTTTATTTATCAATCCCTTTTCTGTACCCCTTTAGATGAGGCACCATTCTAAGTGCTTTTTTAAAAAAAACACTCCTTTTATCCCCGCTCCAGCATGATGAGGTGGGGACTCTTTCATCCCTACTCAGAGATGGGGTAACCCAGGCACAGCTAAGTACCTGGCCCAAGGATGCCCAGCTCAGAAGTGCTCAGTTGGTCTTCAGACCTGCACTTGGCTCTTGAGATGGTGCTTTTAATGTTGTGCTGGCCACCCTCCATGATCTGGCCAGATCTGGCCTTATAATAAAGGGGAAATTAAACCAAGCTTTAAACTCCTTTTGTGTGAGGTATGAGGTTGTCTCAGCGCTCTCCTGAGCCTGGTGACTGCAGCTGAGGTCTCAGTGTCTTTGTCCTCCCCACACTGGCTGGACTAGACAACTCCACGTGCAATGCCAAGTGCAGAGTGTGAGCAGCACCGCAGAAATGAACCTGCATGCCTCTTCCCTACTCAGTCTCCTCCCAACTCGGCCAGGAGAAGGGTTTCCAGATGTGCTCGCTGATGTTTGTATTTCCCCAGGACTCACCCCAAGCAGTGCTCGTGGAGAGAAAGGCCAAGACCACAGAATAGAGCCACATTCTGGAAGGACAGCAGCTCCAGGGCCAGTGAGACTCTGTGTTGTTCAGTTGCAATGCCCTGCTCCTGTCCCGGGATGGGAGGCCTGCCCAGATCCCGCCCACCCAGCCAAATTGCATAATCCAAAATGGCAGAAGAACTCTCTCTTCTGAAGCCTTCATCAGGCTGTCTTTGGGAAGGCCACTCCTACCCAGAGTCGACCCACTTTTCTAAATAGTCCCCACCCAACTCTCAGAGTGCAGATGACCACAGACTCAGCCAACAATTTCTTACATAAGGCTTTCTCTCGCAGGACTCTAAACTTTGCACGGTGACCTTTCCAAAGCAGGCACCAGCAAGCTGAGCCTTCAAGCAAGGCCAAGTTTTTTCCTGGAGTCCTGACAACAAGCTGGGAAATTTTAAAGCCACTCACAGCCCTAGAGCTGCTCAATTGGATCCAAACCCGTCTCTCAGCTTCCCTGGGCCCAGCTCACTCCTGGGCCTGGTACCAGATGGAACAGCCCCAGAGCCCCAGAGCCCATCGAAATCACTCAAACTAACAATCCTAGCCCTGTTTCCCCATCTCCTCTCCCCTCCCACGAAAACCAAAATAAAGCCTCTTATTCACAGACCCCCACCTGCTCTATGACCCCAGTGCTTCCCCGTGTGACTGTGACCCCCTCCCCATGTGCACAAAGTGTTAAGTGTTCCTAGACTTGGGAACATGGAGCAGCAAACTCTTTGTAAAGCCGGCATCTCCTCAGCTGATGACCTTGGCCTTTTCATACCTCAGTAATAATAACAAAATCTACATTTGGAAACACTGTTCTCCGGGAGTAATTCCAGAGATTGCCTATGCAGTGGACATCCAGAGATGTTCACCACATTAAAGGTGAAAAAATCAGAACGACCAACAACAGGAAAGATAATTCACTATTTACACTCTGGGATGCAACGTAGCTGTCAAACATGGAGAGATATTATTTTGAAGTACTTAGTTTTAAAAAAACAAATTACCATTTCCTGTGAGGGAAAGAGATCTGGTGATTTCAGTTCTATCCCCAAATTCTTCAGAAAGACGGCAAACTAAAGTTTTCCTGGGTACGAACCCATCTGGGCAAACCTGGAAGGAGACCACAACAGCATATTGGAAGCTGAAAGGTGGACAGAGCAGCAAGAACTGCTCTAGTAGCACAGAAGGTGGAAGTCAGCGAGTGGGAGGAGGGAGACCCCCAGCAAATACGAGGGTAGACTGGAGATGGCAAAGGACTCGCTGGATTGAGAGGTCATAGGGACCCATATAAATGGGGGTGCAATCAACTCCCCCAACAGGGATGAGAAGCCCGGTCCCCTCTTTTAGACTTACCACAAAGACAAATTTTCCCATAGGCTCTCTGCCTCTCCAGTCCTAGGACTGGCTCTTGGGACTCCAAGCACTTAATTACATTGGAACATCAGACGTTCCATAGCAAGGGTTAGCAGAATGCCATCTCTGTATTCAGATCTGAGTTTCAATGCCAAGAAGGTTCTTGAGACTCAAGAATATGGCCACAGTAATGATGACTCTTGATGAAGTCCGTGCCTGGTCACCCTAGTGGTGGCCAGGATGATGAATAAAGGTGTCCTGGCTCTTAAATGACCAACCAACCATCAGTGATCTATTTAGAGGCATGCACTTCTGTAAATCATTTTATACAATAAAATTAACCAAGGAGATGACAGTATAAAAAAAGATCAATGAACAGCAGTTATGCGGAGAACACCAAGTATTGAAAACAATACAGGATGATCCTTGTTTTCTGTCAGGAAAGCAAATTGGGTAGGTATCAAGGAGAAAGGCATGTGTATTCTCATTAGAAGACATGTTCAAGAATTTCATTAAAACTATTGAAGTGGCACCCCCTTTATCCACAGAAAAGTCTCCAAAAACCTTCACCATGGCTGATTTTAGGACTGTCAGCAAAAGAGTCTCTGCAAAGGAGCTCAGTGTAGATAAACTTCCTATTTTCGTGTCGCCCTGTTTTATTTGGCTACTGGCCAGGAAGATATGAGCACTCCAGGTGCTGGACACCCCTTACTATGCTCACAAACATGTATCCATATAGTAGTTCGTAGAAATGAACAAACAAGGCCTCTGGCCTTGAGCTGGGCTTCACAGAGAAGTCTACATTTTTAAGATAAATTACCAACTGGGCTCCATGGTAACAGCTGGAGGTAGAGGACAAAAAGGGGAGAGGAAGCTCTCCCCTTCTCAGGTGTGGTCCTTGAAGAGTTAACTTGCCCAGAACAGTGAAAGAAAAAGCTGCTTTTATGTGAACTTCTGCAGACTGTGAACTTCTGAGCCCCTCCCCTTACATGCTGGGTTAAAACTCTGAAACTCCCTGAACTCGGGGTTCAGGGGATTGATTGATTACAGCAAAAGCTGTGCCCTCTGAACCTGGCTGCAGCCAAATAAAAGTGCTATCTTCGGTGCCTTGCCTCCTTTGTCCCTACAACACTATCTGTAATGAACTGAATTATGTCCCCCATTATGGCTTGTGTACCAGGAGTCCCCTAAACCACCTGTGTTCATATAGAAAATTTCAGAAGTGCAATAATTAGATTGGGACAGCTATAACCTAATCAGTCCAACCCAAATGGACTGAGTGGTGGGGGCACTGCTGGAGGAGGTGGGCCCAGGGGTGGTCCATGGGAGGGCTCAGATTTTCTGTGGCCCTTTCCCTCTCTCTGCTTCTGAGCACCCATGAAGAAGCCTTCGCCCTCCACCATGATGTTCTGCCTTGCTTTGGGCCCAGAGCAATGGGGTTGGCCTGCCAAGGACTGAACTCTGGAAACCTTTGGCCCAAATAAATCTTTCATCTTCCAAGTTGTCCTTGTCAGGTCTTTGGGTCACAGTGATGAAAACCTGACTCACCCACTGAGCTTCCTATCTCGAATTCTCAACCTACAAGGTGCCTGTATTTGGAGATAGAGCGTTCATGGAGGTAACCAAGGTTAAATAGGTCATGAGGGTCAGGTTCTAGACAAGGAAAATCCGTGTCCTTATAAGAAAAGACACCAGACCCTTCTACCCCACCAACACCACACACCCAGAAGGAAAACCATATGGGGACATAGTGAGGAAGTGACTATCTACAAGCCAGGAGGGGCTCCCTCCCCAGGGACAGAATCAGCCAGCACTCTCATCTGGAACCTCTAGTCTCCAGAACTACGCTAAAATAATTTGTTGTTGAAGCTTCCCAGACTATAGTATTTGGTTATGGTGCTCTCAGGAGGTTGATGCATCATTCAAATGCCCAACAAGAGTAGAACAGACAAATCCAGGCAAGGTCACACCACGGATGGCTTTACAACACTGATAATGAACAAGTCCCAACCACATACGGCAGCACAGGTGACAGTCACAAATCCTGTAGGGAGATAACAGCTGAGTGATAAGAACACATGGTTCTGTTAACATTAAACACGAAACTCAGAAAAAAAAAATAACATATGCTGCTAGAGTCAGTAATTACCCCTGAAGATAGATGGGCAGGGAGAAGGCAGGGCCTGCAGCTGAGCTCTGGAGGCCCTCGGGATGCTCATGACATCCCCGGTCTTGACCTGCCAATCACAAGTGTGATCCGCTGGTAAAAGTACAGTCAGAAATACTCTGTAGACTGTATGAATGTATGCGTTTATGCACATTGGTACTTTCTACCATAGGTGCTAAGAGAAACCCAACTTAAATTTAGCCAAGAGAGTTATTGAATAAGTTGCCTCTCCCTGATGGAAGCTCAGAGAGGTGATGGGAGCTTCAGGTACAATCGTACGAATGGACATAGAGAGATGGTCAGGTAGACAGACGATGAGGACCTTTCATGTAATCATTGTCACTGTTGAGTTTTGGTTTGAATAGGGTCTCAGTTTGGGGACACAGGTTTGTGGGCTGAAGGTCTAGCTTTGTTGAGCTGGTGGAACTTTTCAGAGATGGTCCTAGTGGGAGGTAATTAGGTCACTGGGGGGGGGGCTCATTTTCAGAGGAGATTTACATAGTTCTTGCAGAACTGGGATAGTTCCTGTAAAAGCAGGTTGTGATTAAAAAGTCAGCCTGGCCCTTCCCAGAGAAGTTACCAATTGGGCTCCATGATAACAGCTGGAGGGGGAGGAAAGAAAGGGGAGAAGAAGCTTTCCCTTCTCAGGTGCTGTCCTTGAAGGGTTAACTTGCCCTATGTTAACATCTCTCCATTAACTTGTGATAGTAGAAGCAAAGGTGACTCCGTTTTGTTTTGTGACTCCATTCTGTAAAACAGCCATGCCAAATAGAAGGGTCATGACTGGGGCAAGATGTTCTTTTCCTTTTGCTATAGAAACCTTTAAGAACACAGAACTACCTAATGGGGCATTGTTTCTGTAACTAGGGTACTGGGGCTCTGTTTCTGCAACTGGGGTGACTGAGCTAACTGTGATTGGTTAGGCTTCCATCTGCTTGACTGCACTGTCCCGCTTCTGTAACCTGGCTTGCTTGCATTGGCTAGACCCCCCCGAACATCCCTTCTGCGGTTTTGAGGCTTTTAAGAAGCGCCCTTGCAATTGTTCGGGGCTGATCAGGGGAACAGCTTTATGTTCTGGTCAGCCGCCACTAGTGTGCTTCAATAAAGGCTTGATTCGATTATACGTGAGTGGTCTGGAAGTCAGTTTATGAAACCCCAGGATGAAGCTTTAACTATAACAAACTCTTGAGAGTAAATGGCAGAATATTGAATTACATAAACTTCTTTTCTTTATAAAGTAGCCAGCATCAGGCATTTTGCTAGAGCAACAAAATATGGACTAACATGATCTTCAGTTAACAACAAAAAAATAAGTGTTTCCTCAGATCAAGGAATAAAAGCTGTCCCCTAGGTCCCCAAATGTGCTGCAGCAATCTTGTCAACATAAACCCTGCTGCCAGCTGGGCTGACCCTCAGCACCCTGCACTTTCTTGGTCATGGTTCCACCTCCCCGTTGCTGGCCATCCCCATTCCCGCCCATCCCTTGAGTCCAGCATTGAGCTCCAACCTCCCATGAAGCACAGCGAGCACTTCTTCAATGACACCCTTGTATTTGACACAATCTAGTGCCAAGGCTGGCTTTTCTCCCCTTGCCCGGCTTCCCAAGTGGGGCAGCTCCCAGGCGCATGGCTTATGCATGTCTCTCTCTCCACCTCTGCCACTGGGAACCCGGATGGAAGTGGTGACTTGTAGCTACAGCCAGAGACAGAGACAGAAGTGGGGTTTGGGATTGGGCAAAAGGTCCAGAGTTCAAAGGGCCCTCGAGGAAGGCCCTCAAGAAGGTGCAGGACACCCCAGGAGGAGGGGTTGCCTTATCTGAGGCTCCTTTGAAACTTGCCCAGGAAGTGAAAAGATAAGAAAAGATAGAAACCGCAGGCCCCACCTCTGCCCTGGCTGTGGATAACATCTTTTCCCCTTTCTAAATATTAGAAGCAGGAAGCCAATGAGTGGCATTGGTTTCTGATTTAAGTATTTGGAATCATTTCTATCAGTTCAAACTCTGCAGCATCGGATCACCAGCCTCCCAACGGCCTCTCAAGGAGAGCAGCAAGTTTCCCTCTGACACAGGTAAGATGTGTGGTTTGTCCCTCAGGTTTTTCCACTTTCATTTAATGAATCAGGTACAATATTTTTGGAGGAGAAAAAGAGTTTATGAAACTTTTTTTTTAAATAAATGATTTACTTTTCATAAACTTTCAGTTTATGAAACCCCAGGATGAAGCTTTAACTATAACAAACTCTTGAGAGTAAATGACAAAATATTGAATTACATAAACTTCTTTTCTTTTAGCTTACTTTAAAATAAACTTTTCATTTATTTTACAATTAGAAAATGATTGCATATTTTATGTCTTTATCAGGATGGAAAAGCAGAGACATACAATATGGACTCGGATTGCTGATGACTATGAAGAGATGTGGCTCTTTAGGGAAGTAAATTTACAGAGCACAAGAAGAGTAATTTTAAAAGGTCCTAGCTTTTCTCCCCTAGTTTTGCTCTAGTTGCTACATATGAGAGAAAATATTTGACCCTGGATTTTCTGAGTCTGGCTTATTTCACTGAGCATGATGTCTCCAGTGCCATCCATTTACCGGCAAATGCCATTATTTCATTCTTTTCTATGACCGAGTAAACCTCCGTTACGTAGACAGACCACATTTTCTTGATCCATTCATCTACTGAGGGGCATCTGGGGCTGATTCATGTTGCAGGCATATATAAGTGTACCAAAGGGAATTTATTTTTGATCTATGGAAAGTACCAATCAAAAATCAATAAATAAATGTGGAAAAAGACCTTCCGTAGAGGATGGAGACTAAGGGGAGGGAGGAGGGAAGATAAAGGGGAGGGACTGTGGATCAGAGTCAAATTCCTTGCGTGTATGGTTTTGTCAAAATGGACCCAACTACTATGTATAACTATAAGGCCCTAAAAACAAAAGTCCTTGCCTCTGACTCAGTCCATCCTCTGCAGAACCGAACACCAGAAATAACACTAAAGAATAAAAGGAGTCATTCCCAAAGGTTTTCATCAAATTATGTCCACGAATGTCCAGGATATTAAAATAGACTTTTGGGAGAGATTCTAGAAACTTGGCAAATACACATGTGACACTGTTCAGATGCAGTGGTTAGGAATCAATGGTGGACATCAGAATGCCTGAACACTGAAAAAAGGAGTCCAGGTCCTCCCCAAGAGGACTGTCCTTCAGTGGCCCTGGGAAGTTGGCCATTGGAATTTTGAAAAAAAAAACCTACAAGTGATTCTTCTACTTACACCCCAGATAGAAAAACTTAATAAAGGAAAACAAACGAGGCCGATGACACGTGTCACACATATATTAACTTAAACCCATAAACCAATTAATTGCATGATGACAGGAAGAAAGAGGGAAGGGCCCCCGATCTGGATGACTTGGGTATGTGCTCCACCGAGCACGACACCTGCCCAAATTAGAAACATATGGGAGGAAGCCAGGATGGCCAGCAATATAAAAACGATGCATGTAATGTCACTTAGGATGATAGTATTATTTTTGTACTGGGTATTTAATCCAGGGGCCCTTTACCACTTAGCCACATCCCATTTCTTTTTATTTATATATTTATTTTTTTCATTTTGAGCCAGGATCTCAGTAAGTTGCTGAGGTTCTCTCTAATTTGCTGAGGCTGGTCTTCAACTTGTGGTCCCCCTGCCTCCGTCTCCTGAGTTGCTGAGATGACAGGTGCGGGCCACTGTGTCCAGTTAATATGATAGCACTTTAAAAAATGGTTTGAGTGACATTTTCTAGCTGTTCATTTTTCCAAATGTCAATACAGAAATTGAAAAATTGTGCTCTATATGTGTGATAAGAATTGTAATGCATTCCGCTGTCATATATAAATAAAAAGAAAAAGAAGAAATTGGTCGGCTGCAGCCACAGAAGCCAAGGAATTTCCAGATTGCCTGCCTGTGGCCTGGTCTTCTTCCTAGGGCCACCAAACAGCCCTGAGCAGTCACAGATGAGAGTTGGTGTATATGTACCCACCCTCCTCGTGGCTCTGCAGGGTCTCTGATGTTTGGTTTCTACCATTGCCTGTGGGTCTCCAGTGGAGTGACTGCATTTTCTCCCCAAGACTTGTGCACAGCCCACCTGTGTCCACTGACGCCCCTCCTTGTCCTCTTCTCCGCTCTTCCCCCAGGAGCCCTAAAATCATCTGCCTAAAATGACTGCACTCAAATTCTTGCTTCACAGCCTGCTCCTGGGACCTAAGCCCTAGACATGCCAGGCCACTGTGATTACTAATAGGTGTGTACTCATGGGGAATTGTCATATTCTCTTGGTAAATTGACTCTTCTATTATTCTATAATGCCTCTCTTTTTCCTTTTTTATACTCAAGTATCCAATATTAATAAAGACACCCAACTTTTTTTTAAAGTACCTTTTTTCTATTTTCAACCTATCTAGATCCTTACATTGACAGTGTACATCCAACCAAATTTTGCTTTAGATGTTGAGACTAAGGATGCCACATGATGTCCCCCTTCCCCACACTCGGAAGGGTGAGTTTGTAACATGCATTGCTGAGGGCGTGTCTCAGGGGTCAGGCAGGGTGGCCTCTCCTGCAGATCCAACACGGCCTTAGGAGCAACAGAGGGTGGCGTGGGGCATTTTCTATGGCTAAGGGAAGGGGCGGATGAGCTAATGAGTTTGGATCTTCAACAGGTATCACTTATAGTGAAGAAGTAAACTGTGACCACATGCTGCTGTCTTCATCTTTGTCACTCTGAGAGGATGGACTCACTCTAGCAGAAGACGCAGACGCTGATGTGGTCTCCAGAAAATCATTTATTCTCCAAGTTGAGGCCACAGTGCAAACCTTCCCCACCCAGGCCTCTGCCACCCCACCCCACAGTTCCCCAGCCTCCACGTTAGGACTCCTCTGTGGCCTGCGCACCCCTGTCCTCTGCTCCAGAATCCCCAGGCTGGCTCAGCCTCCCGTCACAGCTCCCCATGTTCTCTCTGGGGAGGTTTCCTTGAGGCCTCCCTGGCCCTGAGCTCAGTCCAGAAAGCCACTTCCTTGTCTTTCAGCCGCGTGGCTGCCTGGGTGGTGGCGCCAATCTGCAGGTACCCTTCCTCCTGGTCGTACTCTGGCCAGAGGGGCAGCCCGGCTCCATTGGGGTTCCTGGGAACAGAATCAAACAGAAACTCCACAGATCCACTCGTGAGCCCCACATGTCTTGAGACTGACAGGATTCCCTGGTTTCTCTCTTCCACAAGGCCCATCCCTATGCAGCGTCGGGAGCTGTCCCTCTCCTGGGGCACCCTGTATGTTCTCAGAGGACTGTAGTCACAGGTAGGGGGTTGTCACTCACACTTTGACCCCTTCACAATGGGTAGGCCCCACCATGTGCCACCCATCCACCCACGCTGCTCCCTCTTTGCCACCAGCCTCACCCATGGCGAGCAAAGTTGGCCCAGAATCTCATCACCATCCTGCTGAGCTTGGTCTCCTCTTCTGAGGCGCCCCCTGTTGGGGAAGAAGGAAAAAACACTTTGCTGCTCAAAGTGGGCTGTGGGCCAGCAGCAGCAGCAGCAGCTGGGAGCTTGTGGACAGCAGACTCTTGGCCCTGACTCCACACCGACTGGTCCAGGTCTGCCTATTACGAAGAGCCTGTCCCTTGGTGTGCACTTTCAGCTTGAGAACAGCTGGTCGAGGACCGCACTGGCCATGCAGTCCATCCATAAGCCGACTGCCTTTGTCTTCTGGGCCCACCTGCCCTGGCCCTCCCCACTCAGGGTCCTAAGGCCACACACAGGGTTCCCTCTGCTTGGTGGGACTGCTGACTCTTGGGCCTTTTCTTAATCTCCTACATGCATCCACATTTTCAGAGAGTCTGAAAAATATCAGACAAGCCACCATCCTAAGATGTCTCCCAAGTGGGGGTCGCCTGGCATGTCACAAACAGCCATGAGGTGAGTCATATAAGTCATCTGCAACTGCTGAGTTAACATATCAAAGATACTGCGAAAACCTTTCTTGAAGTATTATGTTATTAAAAATTCCAGATAAAATATAGGAATTATAATTATATAGACAGATATATGTGACATTCGGGTCAAGGTTAGCACCTAATCTAACTTCCCCTCATTGTTGTATTCTGCTGTTAGTAGAAAATCCCTCAGTGGCAAGCAGTGGCCCCCAAGCAGGGCTCTGCAGGTGACCCTCACTCTCAGGTCAGGACTCTGAGGCTCTGTGCCTCGAGGACCATCGCGAGTACACATCCCCCTTCTTGCAGGTGAGAGCAGAGGCCTGCCCAGTGCTGCACAGCCCTGTTACAGTGAGTCAGGAAATTCACAGTCAGAGAACAGGGGACACTTGCTCAAGGCCAGGAAAGCAAGACTGGAACCCAGGCCCCCTAACTAGCAGCCAGCAAAGAACTGTTACCTTTTAAAAATGGGGCTCCAAATACCGAGAAGAGCTCATCCCCGTGGTCTCCTGTCACCATGCTGGGTCTCACGTCTGATAAGCAGCTCGGGCTGTACTCAAACTCATGCATGTAGGTGGGGGCTCTGGCATCTGAGAAGACATGGATGTGAGCACAGGTCACATCACCAGACACGCAGCTGGATGGTCTCAAGGTCTCTGGCTGTGCAGGAAACCCCTGGGTGTCAGCCTGGGACAGGAACAGAGTTCCTGGAGAGCCCAGGGACTAGCTTAGGGCTGCAGAGCTGCTTAAAGTGAAATTGGGATTTGAGCCAGATTTATTGAGGCGCAGAATGAATTAATTAAGTGAATCAAATAAATACTGAGACATGTTTCGTTGAGATCACACTAGAGCTCCTTCCCTTCAAAAATCTCCACAACCTGATAGGTGCCTCCTATTCCTCTGATTTTGAGCATATCTGAGATTCTCACCAATTCAGAGAAGGGAGGGGCAAATCCAAGCTGCTTGTCTGCAAATGAGGATGTTTACAGACAAGTGTGTCCACAGACAGAGCCATCTGCCTCTCGGGTTTCAAGAAAACACAAATCTCCTGGATTCATATTTCAGTCCCCTTGCATGTCCTGCTTCCTGCTTGGCCAGGGAACTGTGAGGTCATTAGGGTGATACAGTGATGCCCACCACAGAAGGGGCACAGGAGGTGAGCCTGCCTGTCCCCACCTCTCTGTTCCCCTTTCCTGCCAGGAAACTGGTCCATGTAGGTGGGGCTCTGGCATCTGAGAAGACATGGATTCATGCCACAGTTTGCACGACCTGAGACCCACCTGGAAGGTACCAAGGTCTTTGCCTGGTATCGGCACAGGAGAGAAATAGTTTCAGGAAGGCCCCGTGACTAACAGGCTGCACAGCTGGCTGAGGGGGAGGTGGGGATTCAGCCAGATGTTTTTCTGGTGGTCTGCTTTGAACCCTTTCCATTTTCATTCTGTGCTTCTACTCAAGACATGTCTGCTGCTCAACAGAATGAACCAATAAAATCTATCAAATAAAAACACTAGGTTTCATCGAGGACACACTAGAGGTCCTTCATTTCAAGCATATCTACAAGTTGGTAGATGTGTTGTATTTGGCCTGTTTTTGAACTTTTCCAGTGCTGTTCTCATCCATTCAGAGAAGAGTGAAGTAAATCCAAGATGCTTGTCTGGGTGTGAGGATAGTTAACTAAAAATATATGTAGAATTTGTCCTCTATACCTGCCTTGTAAGAACTGCCAAAGAAATGTCTTTAAAATGAAATAAAAAGACACTCGTGGCATGAACGAAGCACAAAGTCAATGACACAAATAAGACAGAACAATATTCAGAATACTGTGGGCACGTAATGGTGATGAGCAAGACAATGTCATCTCTAATATAAAGGTTAAAGACAAAACTGTTACTAAAAAATGAGCTAACATAAATAATCACCTAGTGTTATGGTTTAGCTATGACGTGTGCCCAGAAAGCTCATGAGTAGATCAGGTGAGCTGGAGCCTAATGACTGGGTGAGACCATTGATGGATTAATAATTTGGAAGGTCTAATATAGTGGGTGACGGCTAGAGAGAGGAAGAGTGTAGCCGGAAGAAATAGGTCAATGGGGGTATCCTATTGGGGTTTATATTTTGTCCCTCACACATCTCTCTCTCTCTCTCTCTCTCTCTCTCTCCTTCCTGGCTACTATGAAGGCAGCACATACTGAATCTCTGAAACTGTGAGCCCTCAGTCAACTTTTCCTCTTCTAAATTATTCTTATGTCAGGTATTTTAGTCACAGTGATGAAAAAACTGACTAAACACCTGACTACAGCTAAGATAATTTGCCATTACTAAATGACGTAAATTCTGACGTCAAAACATAAAATGCTGGCGGAGAGACAAAATGCAGAGTCGATAAAATACCTCAATGTTAAGTTGCTGTGAGCTTAAAATAGGCTGCTATAAGTTGAAGATTCATTCTATATAAGTTTTATGGCAACCACGAAGCAAACATTTTTAGAAGAAGCACAAAATAAAATTAGGAAGAAATCAAAGAAAACCACATAGAAAACCATCAAGCTTCAAGGGAAGACTTCAAGAAAAGAAGAATTAAACCAAGTGTTTATGAAAACAACTAGAAAAAAGATAACAAAGTGGCATTAAGAAATCAATAGATGATTACTTTGAATATATACGGATTTAATTGAACAACAAAAAGAAAAGAGAGGCTTCTAACAAGAGCTCAGTATATATTCTGCCTCCAAGAGATTCAGTTCACCTTTAAAGACACACACGGAGAGCAAAGGAACAGAAATACATATCGTACACAAACGGAAACCAAAAGAGAGTGGAGGTAACTACTTAGGTCAGACAATAGGCGTTATGTCAAATACTCTGAAAGAAGACAAAGACCCGTTGATGAAAAGGTTATGAGAATTGTAAATAGATATGCACCCGAAATAAAAGCACCTAAACACATTAAAGGAGTTAAAGGGAGAGAGAGATTATAACACAATATTAGTAGGGGACTTCAATACCCCACCTTTAGCCATAAAGTAATAAAAGCTAATGGTGGCAAAGCTATGGAGAGAAGAACCCTGATCTTTTCCCAGACATAGTGTTTGTGGGAATGTAGATTAATTCCCACTATGGAGAACAGTATGGAAGTTCCTTAATAAACTGAAAATAGAACAACCGTGTGATCTAGCTATATCAGTCTTGCTTCTATATCCAAAGGAAATTAAGTCAGCATACAAAAGAGAGATCTGCAGTTCCACATTTATCACAGCATTGTTCACAGCAGTGAAGATATGGAATTAGTCTGGATGCCCATCAACAGGTGAACAGATAAGGAAAATATGGACTATATAGACAATAGAATATTATTCAGCCATAATCAGAATGAGATCATTTCATTTTTCAGGACAATGGATGGAACTGAATGACATCATATTAAGTGAAAGAAGTTAAACACAGGACGAAGAGTATGACAAGTTCTTCTCATAGGTGGCAAATTTTTAAAAATTAAAAGGATAATGGGGAAGAGAAAGTAGAAGATGAACTGGTGGTGAAGGAAAAAGGTGGAAGGGAGAGTGGATATGGTCATAGCATAAAATATACATGTATAGGAATCTCTCAGTGAAATCCATCCATAGGGACAATTAATATATATATTAATGTTTATTAGTTTAAATAAAGTACCTTTTCTGACTATAATGAAATAGAAACAGAAATCAACAACAGGATGAATTTTGGGATTTTGGCAAATTGTGAAAATCAAGCAGCTCCTGAATAAATCAAGTGGTCAATGAAGAAATTAAATTTAAAAATATGTTTAGACAAATGAAAACAGAAACACAGCAAACCAAAAATATATGGCACACAACAAAAGCAATTGTTACAAGAAAGGTTATGCCAGTAAATACCAATATCAAGAAGAATATCTCAAATAAACAACTCAGGGTTAAACCTCAGGGAACAAGGAGAACAAACTAAGCCCAAACTTAGCAGAAGGATTGCAAGAAAAATAGCAGGCAAGAGATGAGTTAGAGAGGATAAAAATACAAAAGATCAACAAAGCCAGGACTTGATACTTTTAAAAGATAAACAAAACTGACAAATCTTTAGGTAAACTAACCTAGAGAAATGAGTTTCCAACAGATGAAAGAGGAGTCATTTCAAATGATACCACAGAAATACAGAGTGTCATGAGACGTAAGATGATGATATGCACACAGACTGGATAGCCCAGAGGAAATGGATGCATTCTTTATCCCTCACAATCTGACAAGGATGACTCAAGATGAAGTAGATCATCTGAACAGATCAATAGTGAGCAAGGCTATGGAATCAGGGATTAAAAAATCTCCCATCAAAGAAAGTCCAGGACCCAGGGGCCTCACTAATGAATTATATCAAACATTTAAAGAGATCTAATATCAACCCCTCTCAAATTCTCCCCAATTGTCTTAAAAAATTAAAGAAGAGAGAGTACTTCCTTTTATGAGGACAACATTACCCTGACACTAAAACAGGACAAGGATGTTATAAAAAGAGAAAATTAGAGACCGATATCCTTCCAGAACACAGCAGCAAAACTCTTCAAGAAGATACTAGCAAACCAAATTCAACCACACATTAAAAGGATAATCACACTCAACAAGCAGGATTTATCCCTCGGAGGCAAAAATGATTGAACAAAGGCAAATCAATAAATGTGATACATCTGATTACAGACTGATGGACAAAATATATATAACTATCACAATGGGTGTGGAGAAAGCATGTGGTAAAACTAACATACTTCCATGATTTAAAAAGTCATCATATTTGGGATAAAAGTAATGTGCCTCCACATAATAATCCTATACAAGAAGCCAAAAGCTAACATCACACTCAATGGTGAAAAATGGAAAGCCTTTCCCATAAAGTGTGCAATAAGACACTTGTACCCTTCTATTCAACCTAGTACTGGAAGTCCTTGACAGAGCAGTCAGGCAAAAACAGAACAGAAAGGCATCCAGGTAGGAAAAGTGGACATTCAACTACCACCATCTGCTTATGAATTGGTCTTATTTATAGGAAATCTTGCCGATCTTATAAAAAATAGATTAAAACTAATAAATGAATTCAGTAAAGCTGAAGGATATTAAATGGACATATAAAAACCAGAGGCAGTTCTAAACACTAACAATTAACTATTCAAAAAAGAAATCGAGACTAACCCCATTTATACTAGCTACAAAAATATAAACTAGGGAGCAATAAACCTAACACAAGAAGTATGTTATAGGTATACAGAAAACTATAAAGCATTGATGAAGGAAATAGAAGAAGACACAAATAAATGGAAATTCATCTCATTTTTAGGATGGAAGCATTAATATTGTTAAAATGTCCATACCACCCAAAGTGATACACCAAACCAATGCAATCCCTCTCCAAATTTCAATGCCATTCTATATAGCAATAAAAAAATCCTAAAATTCATATGAAATTTAAAAAAAATTCCATTTGATCACGAAAATCATGAGTGAAAAGAACAAAGCTGTAGGTATCACACTACATGATTTCAAATTATATGAGAAAGTTATAGTAACTAAAGCAACATGGCATTTGCCACATAAACACACCACACAGGTTCACATGAACACACACATACACAGTGACCATTAAAACAGGACAGAGAGCTCAGTAATGAACCCAGACTTGTACGTTCAACTTATTTTCAACAAAGGTGCCAAGAATATGCACCAATCTCTTCTGTAAATGGTACTGAGAAAAATGGGTTTCTACATGCGTAAGAATGAAAATGGATCCTTATCTCACACGGTATAAAAATCAACTCTAAAACTACTAGAAAAAAAAAAGACAGAATAAAAACTGCACATTCCCTCTGGAACCAGCCCTTGAGGCCTGACCCTCAGCATTTTTCACGTCCATCTATGCTGGGAGATGTCAGGTGAGACGCCAAAGCTGGTGAATCACAGTCCTTCTAATATCCAACCACTGGGACTCACCTCTGTGCCCACGGGCCACCATCACAGAAGGGACAGCAAACATGACATCTTCCCACAAGTCCAGGAAAAGGTCTTTCTTTCTAGCAGGGTAGTCTGTGCTTCCTAAATACTTCTCAAAGGCCACTGAAGCCCGTTCCTCAGAGAGCTCCTGAAATGCTTCAAGAAAGAGGCCCCCACCACCTGGTGAGCAACGCAGTTGCCCCTGACATTCAGAAGGCGTCATTGATCTTGAACCTCCTGAATCTGGTGTGAATCCCTCCCAGGGTGTGAAGTGGGAAAGGCAGGAAAATGAGAACAGAATCCGGATCCCATCTTTATTCTGCCTTTGGCTTGGTCTCCACCAGCTTCCTCGACTCCCTAGACTCTCACAACAATGGGGTGGGCCTTCCACAAGAGCCACGTGGCCGTCTTCTGGTCCAGCTTGCCTTCAGAGGGTGGGATGCCCATCATCTGTGACAAAATATGGTCAAGCATTTATGAACCATCAGGGATTCGGAGAAAACCCAACTGGCCAACAGCCAATCCAACACATCCCCTGGGGCCTTGGTGATCATGAGTCTTTCATGAGATTGAAGAAACTCAGTGAAACGAATGGACTTAAATTCAGAATGTCAAGGATCGGGAAGAGGGTGGCTTAAATATACAGACTAGGGGCATATGGGTCATCCAGGCAGTGGGGGAAATTTAGACCAAGGGAGTGTGGAAGCAAAGGGATCAGGGAAAGAGGGGAACAGATGATACCCCACAGACCCAGGTGCCTGAGGAAACTGAAATTCACCATTATGGTTTGTTCCTTTGGCATAACCTGAGATCCTCTGAAATGAGAACTGCAGAACGCTCAGCATGTGACGAGCACTCGGAGACTCGACCCCATACTAGCCTGGCCTCTAGCAGCTCAAGGTCTAGGATGTCCTAGGATGACCCCAGAGCCCTTATCATGCCTGCTGGGAAAACTCAGGCTTTCAAGTGGAATACTGTCCTCCTCAGCCAGGAACTGACCGTGGGCCAACAGGTCCCTGAGCCTTTTCTTGAAACAGTTACCTAAGGAGGTCCGCAATGATCAATCCTTGCTCTGCCCTTTAAGGTGCAAATACCCCAACCAGAACTGTTTCTGCAAGAACCTGAGAGTGTCTTTTCTTAATTTTTTTTTTTAATGTAAAGATTTGGGGGAAAATTCTTGCTCTCCCTCCCAGTCCTTGTAAAAGGATAACAGCTGAACTTGAGTGGGGCTGAATTCAATTCAATTCAAACCCGTACTTCCTGTCATGAAGAGAAGAGAAACCTGGTTTTCCTGCAGATGAGCAAGTTGTGCTCACATGGACTAACCCCTCCCACCGTGATGCCCTGCTGAGCACTCCCCAGGATTGAGAGGGCTCCAGCCCTTGTTGTCGGGGACCTAAGTGCAGATCGTGGTGGATTTTTTTTCCCCACCGCAATCCTATTACTGAATAAAACCTGTCCTGTGGCTTTAGTTACTTTCTGGCTTTGCTTTTGTTGTTGGTGTTGTTCGTTTGTTTTTGATAGAAGGATTAGCTCTTCTTCCCTTTTAGAAGCCAATTTAACTCAAGAAGAAGCAACATCCTCCGAATCTTTCCCATGAGGTGTCTGAGAGCAGCTGTGACAATCCATGAGCTCTGAGTCTAAGCCCCAGGTGGAAGCTGTTGAACCCTAGATGTAACTCTCCCCCAGTCCCCAGCGCCTACCCTTTCCAGATGTCCTCCATTTTCCGGTCAGCACAGTTAGGATCTCTAGGGTTCTCCAACCTGGATGGTTCAGGATTATTTAATGGGAAGACAATAAAAACTTGCCCGAGGAGAGGGGTTCCCTGGGCTGCACCCTGAACAGAATAATAAAGACATTTTCCAAGAAAACATGACTGTCCCAGTGGGACACCTGCCCTGGATTCAGATAGAGCTTGGAGAAGGAAGAGCTCTTGGGAGCAGAAGTGGGAGGAGAGATCTCTGAGTTTCGGGAGGATACCTCGTAGGTCTAATGTGCCTGCTCATTCTCACCATTGGAAGGGTCCAGAAAACTCTTGCTTGTTGAAGCCCACCACAAAGGGGACAGTGTTGAAATTCTTTTCAGCCAGAATCTCTTCAGGCATCTTTGGCAGCACACACCATCAATCTTTAGGCATCTTTGGCAGCACAGGCAAGGGTAGCTCTGGTGAAGAAAGCAGGCTCATTTGTTGGATTTTATCTGAACAGATAACACCCATGTCCCCTACCTGCCTGGTGAAGGATTGGACAGTGCAGAGATTCTGTAGCTCTGGGCACAACCCAGTGTTCTAACAAGGGGGTCTATGGCTTGAGATACAGAAGACAGGACTTTGGGGACCTGGTGGTGATAAGATGATGTTGGCTGGTAAATAGGGAGGCAAATTCTCACCCAAATTTTATACATGGACGTAACTACTGTGAATAAGCAGGATTGACGTCATATAGTAAATATATTCTGGTTCTTCTCAGTAGTTTTGTCTGGAAGGTTGCACTGAATGCTGGATGAGTGGATACTGAGACCTTGCTCCAGGGTTATCCCAGACTCAGGTCCTTGTGGCCCTCAGGTCACAACATTTTCATCACTTTTTTGAATGTGTGGGTTCCTACTGAAAGACACACCCTGGGAGCTATCTTTCTCACTAGGATTGGTTACACGGAACATTGACTGATGACAACACCCCAGCTTCGCTGGCTCCTGCCCACCACGGTCCACTATGCGTTTCCAAACTGCACCATCTCGTGGATCCAGGAGCTCAGCTTCCTGTCTGTCTTTTCCCCAGCTGCATCACCCGCCACAGAGGTCACCACACAGAGGCAAATCCCCTCTTCCATTTTTGGATGCACAGTATTGATGAGCCTCAACCCTGAACTCACAGCCAGGGCGCCCTAACACAAGCCTGGGCAAAACTTACCTGTCACATGCTATTTCTTCCACAGGGCACGGCACAGCCTCCTCGGGCGTAGGGACACACACAGGAGCATGGAGACACAGTCTCACCCCTCTGAGCTCAGAGGGGACCCCAGCTGCATGACTCGGACTTCTCATTGCTCTGAGTATATGTTGAGAATGACCACACCATGTTGCAGCTATTGATTTGGTGGTTTGAATACATTTTACCACATAATTGCATTTACCAGTTCAGAATGTGCAGTTAGTAAGGGTCTGTTGCATCTGTTTAACTATATTTAAGCTCTTTTAGCTAAATGTTCAGCTTTGACAAGCTATTGAGCTCATCACTCAAGGTGCCAAAATTGAGACTTGATTCCCTTTTTGATCTTTTATCGATCAAGACCTGGGCCAAATCCTACTCCAGTGGACTGCCAGTAGGGGGCAGGATTTGCGTGCAACTATTGCTTCCCTGGCAAGACTGTGCCGTTCAGAGTGTGTGGCCCAGAAGCCAGCAGGAGGAGCAGCTCCTGAAGGACGAGTCTACAGGGCACACGGGACAGCTGCTGACCATCGGCATGGGCTTTCAGGATGACTGTGATGGCAGGGATAATGGCATGAGCAAAGGCACAAGGTTATGCAGGGCTAATCCCAGGAATGTCACAGAGCCTGGGGCTTGGAGCCATGCCTGGGGGAGGAGCAGGAGAGAGGGGCAGGTGGGGGACATGCAGCAGCGCTGGCACTCAGGTATATATTAAGTTGTAAGCAAGGTCAGATTTTAAGAAGGACGGGGACATGCTCTGAAAGGGCAAGTCTGTGACACCACAGGTCATGGGAGTGAGGAGGGAAAGTGCAGGTAGAAAACAAAAAAAGTCCAGGAGATGGACAGTGAGGGCCACATGGGGCAGCATCTGGGAGGGGAGCAGTGACATCAGCAAAGTCAGAATGACAATAACTGCGGCCATCCACCCAGTGGCTGACGTTGGCTGACGTGTGAGGGCCAAGTGCATTGCCTTGCTCCAGATGAAAACACACAGGGGCATCGAGCCCTCCTCTTTCTCTCACACCTCAGCCCTGTCCACCACCAGGTGCTACCAGCCACTCCTTCAAAAAGAGTCCTCTGAGCACCTCCCGTCTCCTGCTGAGTTACAGTCTAAATCCTTCTAGTACCCACCCCAATCCAATTGCCAGGACCTCCTCAGCCTCCACCCTGCCGTTCCACTCAGCCTCCACTCCACGCACTAGAGTCTTCTGCCTCAGGACCTTTGCAATTGCTGTTTCCTCTGCCAGGAGCACTCCTTACCCAGTTTTCCCCACGGCTGACTTTCTTTCCTCCTCCAGGGCTCACCTCCAAGGTCACCTGCTCATCAAGCCATTCCTTGTCCCATATATTTACTTTCAGACAAATGGCGAGCTCTGCCCTTTTCCCATTTTATTTTTTCCCTTAACTCTGACCGTCATCAACACACTGCAGAGTTTCCGTATTTATTTCTCTGTGCCCCATGGTGAGTGCTTCCCATGGCTTGGTTGAATGGCCACACAGATGGCATTTCACCCTCACCAGATCTCACTTATCCATCTTCCCAAGCCCTTTAAGGGAAGAGCGAGGATCCAGGGAGGACAGGATAGTAAGATACGCACAGCTAATGCTACCCACCGCTGGCAAATGATGGGGGGACGAAGGAGGAGATGGGGGATACAGTGGCAGTCTCCTCAAGGCTGGGAGGAGGACATGTCCTCGGGACCTAGCGCCTGGGATCCCTCCCTGCACAGCTGGTCAAACCCATGGCCTCCCTGGAGATGAGGAGTTTATCTGGAAATTGTTAAGATAAGGGGCCGCCTCTGCCCCTATCCTGTAAGTCTGCCTCCTGAGAGTGGAAGGGTAGTGCTGACTCCTCCCACAGGGCCATTTGGGAAGCAGGAGATGTAAACACGAAGGGGAAGCTTGGCCCAGGGGCCACAGAGGAGCTGACTGGGAGCACTGGACTGGGAGTCAGGGGAGTGGGCTTCAGTGCTGCCTCTGGTCTACCTGGCTGTGTCACCCTGGCAGGTGACCTCCCCTCTCTGGGCCTCAGCAATACACACACAAGGGGGGACTGTGATTCCACAAAGGAGAATTCTTCCATTCATCGTGAATTGGAGCTTAAAGACCTTAAGACTCAAAACCTGTAATCAAGAAGCGGAAAGCCCTTACCTCTCTGGGGTCTCCTTGGAGAGTAAGACCAGGACGTTTCTGTGAAGATAAAGTCAGGGGATGTGGGCGATAAGCCTTCTTGTATAGAAACGGATCCTTTGACCGGTGCCCCGTAGCTATCAGGCTCTCCCACCTGGTGCCTCCTTGGCTGGACCCAG